ACAGTAGCCATCAGACACCTTGCTGGTCTACACACAAACATGATGGAGCAGGTAGTTGCAACATAGGGGTCACGCCATTCTCAGTAGCCAGCAGACACCTTGCTGGTCGACACACAAACATGATGGAGCAGGTAGTTGCTACATAGGGGTCACGCCATGCTCAGTAGCCAGCAGACACCTTGCTGGTCGACACACAAACATGATGGAGCAGGTAGTTGCTACATAAGGGGTCACGCCATGCTCAGTAGCCATCAGACACCTTGCTGGTCGACACACAAACATGATGGAGCAGGTAGTTGCTACATAGGGGTCACGCTATGCTCAGTAGCCAGCAGACACCTTGCTGGTCGACACACAAACATGATGGAGGAGGTAGTTGCTACATAGGGGTCACGTCATGCTCAGTAGCCATCAGACACATTGCTGGTCGGCACACAATGGTTCAGGTTTGAGGCTGGTCTTTTTTGGTCTAAAATATATTCCCGTGTTTGAGGTGAACAGTTGTCTTGCCTTTGAATGTGTTTGTGACAGGATACGCTCACCACAACCTGATGTCCTCACTATTTGATTGTTACACAAGCACATGCCCATGATATAGACCGAGCATATAATAGATAAGAGATTATGAACATGGAAAGGCATTTCTAGCTCTTTTCTACACAAAAAGGAATTACATGTGTATCTGCGTGTAATGTATACCGGCATGGAATCATCAGGTCTACATGGGTATTTAGAATCACCCTGCATAAATCTACCAAAGAGACCTCAAATGATTAGAAAACAGCTTAAATCATTAATCACAAAATACAACCTAATCAAGATAAGAGTTAAGATTCGTACCCTAATAAATGGTTAAAGCATTACTTATTAATGATCAACGATCAACTGCTATATTTCTGAAGAACACATCTGAGTAAATGCTAAGTAAACTAAACGCCTAAACTCATTTTAATGCCCCACCCTCAAAACCTATCACCAACATGGTGAATGGACGAGAAACTTGGATATTGATATATGTAACGTACGAACAAGATTTACATGACACTGTTAACACTTCACTGTCATGAACACTCTAAAGACAAACATCACACTGCAATATCCACGTGTATGGATGGACTTTAAAACTTTATATTGACCACCCTCGGGCAAATGGGAAACTATTGGATCTCTCTTCAGTAAATGTTCACTTCGTTGACTGATTTGAACATGCGGCCGACTAAACACCTTGTTTGATAAACAAAGTCTGACGAGGAGATAGGGAAGGGGTACCCCAGGGAAGACATCAGTATGTGTGGGGTACTTTAGTAGGCCGTGACGTAGCATATGTAGTGTTCTAGGGTGTAAACACACATGGAACACGGATGTTGCTTCCCTGGACTCTTAACAATTTAAATGGGGTCTATATAGCGGCTCACTATTGTTGTAGTATCAAACAATGTTTGATCCTCTGTGACTTGATAAAAGGTAGTTTAAAGAATGATTGTGTTCTTGAATGACAAAAGGTAATGGCTAAAGATTTTAGAGACGTGAATACTAAAGAAGCATAAGTGGTGTCTATATGGTACATACCGGTTCATACTGGTGCAGCCCGAGGATCTTTATTGGATGTTTTCAAACAAGCGGAAGTCTGCTGACATGTTTCGAAGGATAAGCTCCTTCACACTTTAGAATGTTTAGAAAAACAAACGATTGCAAAATACATTAAAAAATATATACCTATCAACCCCAGTTCACATCACTGTTGCTATGGACAACGCCGTTAACAAAACAGTCCACATGAAACGGAAACATTTACACTATAAGTTAGAAATATACGTTTTTCCTATAGCGAAGTCTTTTGTGTGTCTTAAGTATAAGATCAAAACTTGCACATTCAACAAGCTTCTTGTTGTTTAACTAACACTTGAAACTTGCAGGTCTTAGAAATCCGTTCCCGATACAGTTAATGCAACCTCCATCTGCTCTCACATTCTGTGCGTTGTGCATGTGGGAAACTTGTCGCTGGTTTGACAATGGTTAAATTGTACATGTTGGGAGGGTTGTTCCTTGTGGGTGTGCAAGCTGGCCCCGTACCCGAGAAGAACTGTGTACCGTATAGATACAGACTGCTGGACTCGGTAACAACGACCAACTTCTCTCACATCCAGTCTGTGGTGGCATCGTCCCGTACTAAATGTTTTGCCAAGTGTGTCGGCGTCAACACCTGCATCGGCGTGGTCTACTGCCCCGATGACGACGTCTGTTACCTGATGACTGCAACATCTAACCTAGGCAGCGTCCCCAACGTCACGTGTCAGTATTTTGTGGAGGAGGCTGCTGGGACACAGGTGAGATGGTTTACCTATTGGTATGGTTACCATAGTAACTGATAATACGGATCTGTGGACTATTGAATGTCATCCCTTTTGGGAACCTGAGTTAGAAAAGGCCCCCAAAACTCCCTCCTATATTTTTGTGGCAGGGTTTGCAATCTATTGCTAGTCATCCCTTGGAGGGCCTAGGTTAGAAAAGGCCCCCAACACTCGCTCCTATATTTTTGTGGCAGGATCTGGGGTCTATTGTTAGTCACCTTTGGGGACCTGGGTTAGAAAAGGCCCCCAACACTCGCTCCTATATTTTTGTGGCAGGGTTTGCATTCTATTGCTAGTCATCCCTTGGAGGGCCTAGGTTAGAAAAGGCCCCCAATACTCGCTCCTATATTTTTATCGCAGGATCTGAAGGTCTATTGTTAGTCACCTTTGGGGACCTGGGTTAGAAAAGGCCACCAACACTCGCTCCTATATTTTTGTGGCAGGGTTTGCAATCTATTGCTAGTCATCCCTTGGAGCGCCTAGGTTAGAAAAGGCCCCCAACACTCGCTCCTATATTTTTATCGCAGGATCTGGGGTCTATTGTTAGTCACCTTTGGGGACCTGGGTTAGAAAAGGCCACCAACACTCGCTCCTATATTTTTGTGGCAGGGTTTGCAATCTATTGCTAGTCATCCCTTGGAGGGCCTAGGTTAGAAAAGGCCCCCAACACTCGCTCCTATATATTTGTGGCAGGGTTTGCAATCTATTGCTAGTCATCCCTTGGAGCGCCTAGGTTAGAAAAGGCCACCAACACTCGCTCCTATATTTTTGTGGCAGGGTTTGCAATCTATTGCTAGTCATCCCTTGGAGCGCCTAGGTTAGAAAAGGCCACCAACACTCGCTCCTATATTTTTGTGGCAGGGTTTGCAATCTATTGCTAGTCATCCCTTGGAGCGCCTAGGTTAGAAAAGGCCCCCAACACTCGCTCCTATATTTTTGTGGCAGGGTTTGCAATCATTTGCTAGTCATCCCTTGGAGCGCCTAGGTTAGAAAAGGCCCCCAACACTCGCTCCTATATTTTTGTGGCAGGGTTTGCAATCTATTGCTAGTCATCCCTTGGAGCGCCTAGGTTTGAAAAGGCCCCCAACACTCGATCCTATATTTTTATCGCATGATCTGTGGTCTATTGCTAGTCATCCCTTGGAGCGCCTAGGTTAGAAAAGGCCCCCAAAACTCGCTCCTATATTTTTATCGCAGGATCTGTGGTCTATTGCTAGTCACCCTTGGAGGGCCTAGGTTAGAAAAGGCCCCCAAAACTCGCTCCTATATTTTTATCGCAGGATCTGTGGTCTATTGCTAGTCACCCTTGGAGGGCCTAGGTTAGAAAAGACCCCCAAAACTCGCTCCTATATTTTTATCGCAGGATCTGTGGTCTATTGCTAGTCACCCTTGGAGGGCCTAGGTTAGAAAAGGCCCCCAAAACTCGCTCCTATATTTTTATCGCAGGATCTGTGGTCTATTGCTAGTCATCCTTGGGAGGCCTTGGTTAGAAAAGGCCCCAAACACTCGCTCCTATATTTTTATCGCAGGATCTGTGGTCTATTGCTAGTCATCCTTGGGAGGCCTTGGTTAGAAAGGTCTCGCTCGCTAAATTTAGTTGTAATCAAACTCGGTGACTTGTTTGTTCACTGGTTGTTTATGTTTTCAATATGATACACTTGATGAAGCAAAATTTATACAAACATTTATAATCATTAATGTCATTGTAGGGAGTGGATGTTTTGTAAAATACAAACTTTATATATTTCTTCATGTAGCAGGATTGAAAGGGCTCTAAAATGTTAAAGTTACTATTTAACTGAAATTTGACATCTGTTGGACGGGATAAGCTGTTGATTTTATCCAAACGGAACAGAAAGTAGCATGCCCATAACGTCAGTGTCCTGACAACGGGGATAGATCCATCATAGTCAGTACCAGTGTTATTATAGAGGACTGACTGACTGACTGAGTTTGGTTTTACGCCGCTTTTAGCAATATTCCAGCAACATCACGGCGGGGGACACCAGAAATGGGCTTCACACATTGTGTCAGTGTCCTGACAACGGGGATAGATCCATCATAGTGAGTACCAGTGTTATTATAGAGGAAGAGACAAATGTGTTTTAAGCATACATGATGTTTTAAGAAAAGAAAAGTGTAACTTAGGTAGACTGGAATGTAATTATATGCAAACGCAAATCAATATATACGACAGATGATTCTAGGAGGGTCACTGTGCAAGAACACAATACGGTTATGAACTAACCACATACACTGCCTCGTGGACAACTTTAGAGTTATACCTTAATAACAACTACTAGAGTTTCTATGGTGGCTGATTAGGGCCATCGCTTCTTGCCTTAAAATTCGGAGGCGAGAAAGTGAGAAAGCGATATCACGAGACGAGAAAGCGATAACACGAGACGGGAAAGCGACAGCACGAGACTAGAAAGCGATATCATTGCATGAGAAAGCAATAGCACGAGAAAGCAACAGAGCGAGAAAGCGATATAAAAAGGCGAGAAAGCGATAGAGTGATACAGCGATAAAGCAGCCACCATACGTTTCACGGAATGTTAAAGGCGCATATTCCGACAACAGCAAGAACATCAGAGTAGATAGAGGGGAATGTTCTGTGCCATCTTTACCAGGTATTGTCTCATGCAGGGATCATCTGATGTTCTTCCCACATCTGAAGCTTTGGAGACATCATCATCAACAGACACCATAACGACATCAACAACAGAAGAAATGACACCATCAACAGAATCAACATCTCCAATAGGGACAACGACTGAAGCAGATGTGGCGACCTGTGAAAATGGCGGTACGTCAGTCGGTCCAGCCTGCAGCTGTCTGCCCTCCACTACCGGAACACGCTGTGAAACACGGATTAAAGGTACTCCAGTCTTACTTAGTGCACTAACACTGTTGAGTGTTGGGTTAGGCAAGTGGTTGATGTGTCGACCGGGGTCAGTCCCCGACATGGGGAACAAGTAAAGTATATTCTTGCTGTCTCCACCGTCATTTTGCATTAATATCGATAAAAAATCCATTTAATGTGCTTTACACACCGATTGACTGAAATTTTCAAGTTCATTCAAATCAAATCCATATTTGAAATTTCATGATGCGTCGTGTGTCTGTGTAGTAAAATGTGACCATTGTGCATTGACCGGGTTTCAGCCTCTCAAGGTTGGTCAGTATCCCTTTGTGAGTGGACAACTCCGAGGCGCCGTTTGGCATAGCGTAATAGCATACAAGGATGTTGATTTCTTAACTATCATGACGGGGTCCTCATTCCTCAATACTCCATCAAGACAAAACTGATATTCTGAGTAATTTTCTGTCCAACATTCTGTATCCCACACGTAACATCACCAATGACCACACTGTAACAATACTATTTCCCTGTTGCAGACTGTAGTGACGTGTCCCAGTATATTGGTAACCCTAATGGCACCTACACTGTCTGGCCGACCAACTCCACACAATCCTTTGACATAGAATGCCATGGCGTCACTACTATGATCATGTTCAGGGACAAAACCATCAGTGGCTGTGAGGCGGAGCCCGTGACGTACCTCGACGTTCCCTGGGCCGACTACAAGTCTGGTTTCACCCACTCCAACTGTTACATGTGGCTGGGTCTGGAGAAGGTGCATGCTCTGACCAGTGTCCGACCTTGTAAACTCTTCATGTCCTTGAAGAAGTTTGACAGCACTCCCGGACAAGTGTCTTACGACGCCTTCTCCGTGGGTGACGAGGCCTCGGAGTATCAGCTGTCGGTGTCGGGGTTCACCGGGGATAGCGTTTTCGGAGACCGCTTCAACCTGGGGGACCCAGCTAGAACCCTGGATGGGAGTCACTTCTGTGCCAAGGATCACTGCAACAACTCAGTCGAGCCGTGTGCCGAGTGGCATAAGGGAGCCTGGTGGAACAGGTTGGATGTCTGTCAGACCAATCCTCATCAGCAATATGACATTGCTTGGGTTGTTGCCTATGGCGACCCTAGCAACTGCAAAAGTATCTATATGTACATAAACCATCCCGCCTAGCTCACAGTTCCCTTCAGATTACCTCGTTCATTCGAACGTTACCGTTTTATGGAATCGTGCTGATTAACAAAGTTCCGGATAAATAATCAAGGTTACGGAGTAATGTCCCTTTGTTTACAATCACAGTTACAGCCGGAAGTGTTCTCAAGGTTGGGTTTCTAGAGTTACAGGGTCAGGACTAACGACGTTCTCTTTCTACAATCTGCTTGATGTTAGTACAATTCCAATTAGAGGCAGACATTGCATAAGCGTATCTATTATAGCAAGTACGTGACTGGATATTGTTTTACGCCGCAGTCAGCAATATTACTTCTACTTCTGCTCTGTACCAAAGGATATATAATCTTTAAGTTCAACAGTTCGAATGCTTATTGTGAACATGTTATTGTTAACAGTGAATATATATGTACAAATCCATTTTCACGTGCTATCACCGTCAAGTAAAATACGTGTTTAACACACTTGGTCATTTACTACGAATTTAACGCACAAGGCTGTTCCCGATCACATTTGCATAGCACTTTATTTGGGTGACTTATCGAGGTTTTATACGGTATTCCTGTCATGTCGGACGTGGCTTGTTTGGGGTCGGGTATAACGTGGGCGTTACGAATACAGGCCGTACATATTTAGAACCAGAGACCTGGGTATTGTACCGAATATACCTCGGTTCGGTGGGTATTGTACCGAATATACCTCGGTTCGGTGGGAATTGCCTGGATTACCACGTACGGTCTACTAACTTGGGGACAGAAGACACATTTGAATTTTCAGCACATGTCCGTGAGCGCCTGATCTGTTCTAGATATGTACCTAGCTACTAAGCAGATATTACTTCTATAGCACTAGAATCATAAAGAGGTACCCCGAAACAAAACAATCACTTTTCGTTTGTGTTCACTGAATGCCCATCTAGAAGTTCTAAACATGACATGGCTTACTACTGAGCGGAATATAATGAATATATATATGGAAAAGAAATGAGTCACAACAAAACAATCACTATTCGTTTGTGTTCACTGATTATATTTAGAATCTGCCTTTTGCTGTATGATGCGTTTAATCCACCCTGCAGGGGCCTAGCTATCATTATAAAAAGCCCGGGCTTACACATAATTGTTGCTAAATAGGTTGGGCAAATCCTCAATACCATCTAAATATAAAGCTTTGCAACCTATCGGGCTTACACGAAACAATTGTCATGCTACGCGCCTGCCCTGAAATGAACAAAGGTATTGTCACATATCTGCAGATAGGTCTGTACAAGGTTTCACCTGTAATGTCCGTGTTTGTCTTGATGTATTGCTTGAATATTGGTTAATAAATGTTTATATAATGTTGATACGGATGTGGTTCCCCCTCTCTGGAGCTAGTTGTATTAATGGGTCACCGGTCACAGGGACACCGGTCATAGGGAAAAATTCAGTTTATAAAATAATCCTAATAGTGATGCAGATGTCAATTAACTCCAGATGGCCAGGGTGCCAATAGAATGGCAAGTCGTTAGTGTGTCAAGGTAGTCATCATGGCGAGATTGTATCACACACGTAACATACAACACATCTGTAGACATTGTTGTAATATTGCTTAATACTGTTCACAGAATGTTGATATGGATGGTGTCTTTCATTGAAAAGGTGAAGGACTATATGGATATAGTGTAGCACCCCTACCCTTGTCTTGTCGTGCTTTTGTTATAGTTAAGCTCTACGTGAGGCTCACGTGATTGCTTGTATGGACGAGAGCTATTGTCTCATCGAAACTCAATACTTTTAACAGTCATCACCACCGGAAAACAAATACACTGTACACCAGGTACCACCTCAGCCTCAGGCAATTGTAAGTCGTTCAGTGAAATAACACAGGAAGCTGGCTACCAACTAGGTTTTGTATTTCAAGAGTTGACATACAAACCTAGGTTCGTAGCGGACACTCTGAAGAGAGGGGTTCAGAGCTCCAGATAAGATGAGTGATATACGCAGCTCGCGTACCAAAGGACAAAGTCAGCCAACGCTGCAAGTGATTTCCCATTGAGTCCATTTGGGTTGATTGTCCGCATTTTCTTTCAAATCTTGGTTTACCGATCAAATAAGACATCACACATACGGGGATTGACGGGAAGGTTTTGACCATTTTATGATGTGACGATTTGGTTACAGCCGTTCGCACATTATTTTTTTCTTCAACATTAGCTTCCTCTTGAGGTTCATACACGTCTGTCAAATAAATGACACTCGCCAGACAGTTTGAGAAGAGACTGAAAAGTCTGACGGTACCAAAGTTGGAGAATGCGGGGGTGTACAGAGTTCAAAGCCATTTCCGCCATGGCGAAATCACTGCAGCGGTGCATTGTCCTGATGAGCCAACACATCGTTCGTGTGTTTTTCCCTCACGACATTCAATCTGGCAATTTCCATGAATTTGCCTAAGAAGACTGGCTGCTATTTAATATAACTGTTTGATTGTCGGACCATTCAGGGTCTAGTCTAGCGATAGGGATTCCTTTGTGGAATCACAGAAAACTGATGCCACTACCTGGCAAGCTGAGGGGCCAGACTTTGCCTTCTCTGGAGGAAACGTGACCCGCAAGTGAATGTCTTGGGCTGATAGTAGTAACCCTAAGTCACATCAACGTTTACCAATCGCTCAACAAAATCAGCCAGGTCTGCTTCATGACGTGTTTCAGAAGTGAATCAGACGCCTTTGCAGTGTGCTGAACCCTTCGTCATGGCCATATCAACACCTTCAACCCCTTCGTCATGGCCATATCAACCCATTCAGTTCCTTCGTCATTTCCATATCAATCCTCCAACTCCTTATTCAGTTATTTGCCTCTTACAACAAGCATGTGTTGCTGAAGACCAATTCTAACCCGGATCTTCACAGGTCCCATTATTGTAAGCAAGGAAGAGAGTTCTATGGATATACTACTATATCACAATACATCCATACTTCTATCTCCCTTGATCATCACACCAACTTCTTAATGCCACTCAAAGAAGCCATCATTGTAAGGTGTCTGTAGAGGTGTTGTCCCAAGAGAATCTTCGATCTGTCACAGTTATGGGGAAAGAGCAGTTTTGAAGGGCCCGAGTATACTTTAACAAGAAAGTCACCAATATCCCCCGCAATGGCAAAATACTCTTCATGAATATTTCTACGAGTTATGATTATGTCACATGTTTTGGTGTGTATATAGAAAAGTGGAAACAGAGTATTAAAAGGTTTTTTAAGTTCTGCCCCAGAAAGGAGCACTACCACCAGTTTCAGTCCAAGTCAAACTTGTTGGCATGGAAATGAAAAGATATTTTATTCAGAAATCCAAAACTACCAAAATGCACCAGTACACCACCAGACCAATCTATTTGCCAAGTTTGGTGAAGAAATGGTGAACGGTTTTAGAGTTCTGCTACGGTTTTAGAGTTCTGCTCCGGAAAAGAGCAATACCACCAATTTCAGTCTAAGTCAAACTTGTTGCCATGGAAAGGCCAAAAATATTTAATTCAGAATACCAAAACTACCAAAAGGCACCAGTACACCACCAGATCTATCCATGTGCCAAGTTTGATGAAATATTGAACGGTTTTAGAGTTCTGCTCCGGAAAAGACAAATGTGCACAGACGCACGGACACACGGACGCACGTACGGAGTCCATGTTAATACCCCCGCAAAACGCGTTGCGGGGGATAACAATCAACTGTATCGTGGCCATGAAACAAAGGGATTTTACTGACGCTTCACTGAACAATGCCCAGATTTATGACGTACCGCAGCAACTGCAGCCTGGTTCCCGGGGTTTGCTGCGCTAATGCTTCAGTGAATTGACTGATTTCTATAGGTATGATGTGTTTATTTCATCTCTTCCCTTTTTTCTTTTACAAAAATATGACTGAAAGAGAAATTACAGGTAAGTAAATTAGATGAAGAATATATTCAGTGGATAACTCAGAATTAGATCAGCGTATTGATGAGAAACTTTCATGTGATTATAGGAACATATTTTTCTTCTGCTCTTAGAGTTTTAAAATCTAGTCGGCAAGTGTGTGTGTTAAGAAAACAGATAGACAGACAAATCCTCTTATTTGCGTAATATATATCGTATTACATGTAGTTCCAACAATGGTGAAAAAACGGTTCAAAGTGGTGTTGCGTTAATGATTGTATGACTGAGCGCCAGTACATAAATGTGACCTGGACAGTAAGGAGTCACGTTTGTCCAACCCTTCTTTCCTTGACTTAGCAGGACGGTGGGGTAGCTTAGTGGTTAAAGCGTTTGCTTGCCACGCCGAAGACCCGGGTTCGATTCCCCACATGACTACAATGTGTGAAGCCCATTCTGGTTCCCCTGCCGATATTGCTGGAATATTGCTAAAACTAAAACTAAACTCACTCACTCACTCACTAGAGTCCAGGCTTTCATCCCCCAGGACAAGATGGGACGGCATTAGGGAAGGCTAGGGTCCATTGACGTCCGAAGAGGAATTATACTGTGCCATCAGTAGAGAATCACTGTGTTGTGACAGTGTGCAACAATAGAATGCAAGGGCGGATACAGCTTTTAGATAAATGGGGAGCCCTCTCTTGAGAAGGAGGTAGGGGTGTGTGTATGTGTGTGCGTGCGTGCGTGCATGCGCGTCACACTTCATTTTCACCCGTTTTCACGAGAGTTTCAATGGATCCGCCTACTGAATGTGGGGTTTGAAGTCACTGAAGTTGCCTTTCCACCGACACCGTGATTTAACGGAAATACTCTCTATATACCTTATATCTCTATATACCTCTATATAATACCTTGTGAGTTCGCCGATGCTACGTTGATGTAAACCTGTACGAATCCAGAGAGGATAACGTGTAACCTCAGGAGACGTACATGGGCGTCTGTGGATTCACACACTGCAGCGAAGCCTTGTTCACACACCCAGAAATAATAGGAAATAATTTTACATCTGCAGAAATGTTACAGACAAAATATCACAGACGTTTTGCTGACATGGGACTTGGTGTCATGATGGAGAGATCAGTAATTTCAAAGAAGTGAACACATTTCTCATGTTCTTTGTAGTGTTCTCTTAGAACGTCAAGAAATCAGGGAAATATTTGGGTGAAACCGAGATGAAATGATATTTTTCAAAAAACGCCTACTAATCACCAGAGTTCTGACTACACTGGCGGTTCCAGAGAGTCAAATCATAAAAATACCAATATCCCTAACTTATTTTGTCCAGTATATATGCCCGCCATATAGCTGGAATATTGCTGAGTGCGGCGTAACACTAAACTCACTCACTCACTGTTTCTATATGCCGATCTTTCATTTAAAACCAACGGTTTTATGGCACGCAGTGAATACACTAATTAATACAAAAGAAATAGCTGATGTGATAAATACGTTATCAAATTTAGTAACGTGTGACAACTCGTACCATCCTTTAGAGACAACGGAAAGTGACGGATGTTGACGAATGTGCTGGTCTTGCGATGGCGATGTTGACGTTGTAGACATCGTACATCTAGTGCTGACTGTGACGGCGCCGACGTCCGCACAGCCACCCCGTGCACGGCTCCTTCTTCTCCTTCACCGTCAACTTGAGGTTGAGACACAACATCTGTTCCCCAGTCGCTGTGTCCACGGCTGTGGCAGTCGCCTCGTAGTTGCCCTGTACAGGAGAGAAGGTGAAACCATGAGTGAGTGAGTTTAGTTTTACCCCGCACTCAACAATATTCCAGCTATATGGCGGCGGTCTGTAAATAATAGTCTGGACCAGACGATCCAGTGATCAACAGCATGAGCATCGATCTGCACAATTGGGAACCGACGACAAGTGTCAACCAAGTCAGCGAGCCTGACCATCCGATCCCGTTAGTCGCCTCTTACAACAAGCATGGGTTGCTGAAGATCAATATTCTAACCCGGACCTTCACGGGTAAGTGGAACCATGGACCACAAGGGAAGTAACAGCCCCAGACATTCGATTCAAACTTTATGTCTGCTAACACTTGTCTTGCTTGCAAATTTCAAGATGTATTAGAAACTATAGGATGAACTAATTCCACGGAGACAATGTCAGCTATGCAAATGGCAGAGTCCAAATACTCCCTCTCCAAAACAAGGCGTGGTATGATTGCGCCAAACAAGCAAGGTAGGATCAGTCTTGTTGTCGTTCGTTTGTTTGTTGTTTAACACAACAATAACACTGTATTATGACGACAGACTGTAGGTAGTCGACAACGAACAAACCAGTGATTGATATACTGAGCTATACGATAGCACACAATCAACCAGGTACCCTGACCACCCGATCCACATATCCTCCAGAAGAAGAAAAGGTGAAAGGGAATCAACGTGACTGAATTATCTGGTCCCAAGAAGAATAGTGCTTTTTGTGACCCAGCCATGCTTTTTTTACGAACCGAACTTGAATGAAGGGGATCATCGGGCCATCGAGCTATCACCAATAATAGACGACAGACGTACCAATAGCAAACAGATGTATATTTTCCAACATCAAGCCACAGCATCAGTTCAATATGTGGCTGAAGAAGTTCCGAGTTTAAAGGTTTTAGTTCCAGTTGGCAATTCACGCCCCATCAACCAGAGATATCTACCCATGTTCATTAAAAACATTGTATGTAACTATAGCCCACTTAAACACTTGTTTGATATACTTTTTATTTATACCGATGCATGAAATCTTGGTTTGACCGCTCTCCCTATCACCGAGTCCAAGCTAGCATTACTTAGTACGACACTATATGTATAATAACAATGTGTATGGCCTGATGGTTATTGCAGGCTAAACCCACTCTGAGGTTGAATAAGGTAGGCTCATCTATACCACGAAAGACGGATTCGCATTGACTTAACTCATTCTAACAGTCAGTCTAAAACAAGGATGATGCATTACTGAGGAAATCGCCTTCCTCATGTTGCAAACAGAAAGCGTTTTCTAAAATACCTTTCCGTGTTTGTTGATGAATATAAGAACATAGACCTTCAGTGTGAAACAGTACCAGTCTAGACTATCCTTACAAACAAACTCCATTTGATGCAGACTGAAATAATAGCTACAAACTTCTATGAATGGATCACTGGAAATCAGCGATGACACCAGGTGTTCACGAAAAGGATGTCTTTCACTACCGGAAGCACACGCATTTCACAGAATTTGTACAAAGAAGTGCCTGACGCCGCAAGAATTCATTAAGCTCAAAGCGATCTGAATGCAATCAGGAGAACTGGATGTTGTGGAAGTTACTATAAGTTGTATGCCTACCGGCTCAGGTGACACTGCTACAAACAAGCGTACATCAAACCGAATTACCCGAGGGAGAAGCATACAACGTATTTATCTTACCGCCATGTTAAATGTACAAAATATCATATTATTTTATGTTAAAGATCGCTACGATTATATGACATGCAAAGAAAATGGCGTCTGCCTCTCGACTGGATTTTTAACATCAGTGAAACATATTCTGACAAACATAAAACTGCTATAGAAATGGTTAATTATGTTTAAGTTGAGTGTGCAAACCACTCAATGTATAAAATAGCTTAAATAAAGCAGTTAAAGTCGGTAAAATAAATCTGTACAAAGTAAACACAAAAACACCTGATCGAACGGTTTTCGAACTCCGGGCACGGCATGCGTCATATTATGACGTCATACGATTGTTAGCGCTTCAGCTTCTCGGCGGAGAGCTTGGCGGTTGCCGTGGCAGCGGGTAATATTTTTTCCAGTTGTCACCCTCCTGGGAGGTAATATTTTTTCCAGTTGTCACCCTCGTGGGAGGGTGACACAGAAACTTGTTAAACCGTCATTGACCAATGAAATTAAAGTATTTTACATGAAGGTAAGATAAAGTGTGATACACGGATGGGACACTCAGCTCACATCGGCAAACCACGACAACACGGAGGGGACACTTAGCTCACCTCGGCAAACCAAGACAACACGGAGGTGACACTCAGCTCACCTCGGCAAACCATGACAACACGGAGGTGACACTCAGCTCACCTCGGCAAACCAAGACAACACGGAGGTGACACTCAGCTCACCTCGGCAAACCACGACAACACGGAGGGGACACTCAGCTCACCTCGGCAAACCACGACAACACGGAGGGGACACTCAGCTCACCTCGGCAAACCAAGACAACAAAGAGGTGACACTCACCACGGATGTGACAACACGGAGGTGACACTCACCTCGGCAAACCACGACAACACTGAGGGAACGGCCGGCATCTTCAGCACGTAGTCCTGGAGGACGATGTTTTGCACTACAGCAGGACAATACGTCGTGATCCCCACCGAGGCCAACATCTGTTGGATCTGACGCCCGACGTCGCCCATGATGCCGGCCCAGTTCTCCTTCTGCATCGTCGCCAGGAGCGTGCATGTGTCGTCGTAGGTGCTGGTTGGAGGAAGGAACATTGAAGGGTATGGTTTATAATGGAATTTCGTCATTTCTTTTCAACTTTTTTTTCCTTTTTAGAAAAAGTCACTGGATTAGCGTTTGGAGTAAATATACTAGGCACATAAAGAAACTGTGCAAACAAACATTTAAAATCTAAATTTATCAAACCTGTGTAGACACATAAGGATTTAAACTCAGAGATTAGTGACATGTATCCAGCATACATGCACGTGTCACCTTCCGTGACGTCAGTGGGTTCGTCCTTAAGACGTGCAATACGTCGTTGCACGTGCATTCCGGGAAAGAGAAACAGCAAATGAATGCCACACAATACTGTCACTTTGGAAAGCTCAACCACTGCCCTTGCGATCGTTCAAAAAATTAAACGGCTATTAAAACGCATAGCATGCCAAGGCTCACGTCTGCACAACGTCATGAGGCCATTGGGATGGTCCGTGGGGGAATGTCTCAACGACAAGTGACTGCACATTTCCACTGCCACCGGAACACCATTTCTTCACTGGTGAGACGCTACCAGAACACAAATGACGTCATCGATCGGCCACGTTCTGGACGTCCACGTGTAACAACGCCAAGACAGGACAGATGGATAAGGGTGACCCATCTTCGCCACAGGTTTCAGACTGCAGTGATGACTGCCCGAACCATCCAAGGACTTCGCCGTATCCACCCCAACACAGTTCGACAACGTTTACGTCATCACGGGATCAGACCACGACGTCCCGCCATACGGCCTATCCTGACACAACTTCATCGACAAGCTCACCGAATGTGGTGCCGAAATCATGTCCGCAGACCCTTGTTTTGGTGGAGAAATGTTGTTTTTACAGATGAGTCCAGGTTTAACATTTCCCATAGTGATGGACGTCAACGCCTATAGACGCGTGGGAGAACGTTATGCACAGGCTTGTGTCTTGGAGAGGAATCGCTTTGGTGGTGGTTCCGTGATGATTTGGGGTGTAATAACAGCACGCCAAAGAACTCCTTTGGTGATTGTTCAGGGCAACTTAACTGGTGTGGGCTACAGGGGTCAGATTTTTCGACCTGTGGCAATTCCTTTTCTGCAACGTCATGGCCCTGGGTTAACATTCCAACAGGACAATGCCCGCCCTCATACGGCAAGGGTTGCTATGGATTTCTTGCAACACCACAACGTTGACTTACTGCCTTGGCCTGCAAATTCACCGGATCTCTCCCCGATAAAGCATGTTTGGGACGAGATGGATAGACGTCTACGCCGTCTTCCTCATCCGCCAGATAACGTCCTTGACCTTGCAACAGAACTTGAGAGGACCTGGCGTGACATCCCACAAGCCTTCCTTGCACGTTTGATAGGCTCTATGCGTCGTCGATGCACTGCTGTTCTCAATGCCGATGGTGGACATACCATTTATTGAGCTTGTGACATGGTCGTTTGACCCCTGTCCCGCTTGTGGACTCGTGACGTCATTGTGATTGACTTTTCAATTGAAATTCTCCCGACTTGTTATGGTCTCAAGTTTATATGTACCTTTGACATTGTTATCGTACTTATCAACTGGGATAATATTTTGACAATGCACAGTTTCTTTATGTGGCTAGTAAGGCTGCAATTTTCAGTTTTAAGCTCTCCTGACTGAAATTTTTGATGTATTACTGGGTGGTACTTTTCACTGTTGACCGAATACACGAGTGAGCTACAGAACCGAGGTATTACTAATTACGTATTTAGCAAGTGAGTGAGTGAGTTTAGTTTTACGCCGCACTCAGCAATATTCCAGCTATATCGCGGCGGTCTGAAAATAATCGACAATTCAGTGATGGACCAGACAATTCAGTGATCAGCAGCATGATACATCAATCTGAACAATTGACATACGATGACATGTGTCGACCAAGGCAGAGATTCTGACCACCCGATCCCGTTAGTCGTCTCTTACGACAAGCATGGGTTGCAGACGACCAATTGCAACCCGGATCTTTACGGTGTGTGTGTGTGTGTGTGTGTGTGTGTGTGTGTGTGTGTTAGAAGCATGTTGAGGCGTGTGTGTACACCTGGTATTGTTTGGATTTCTCACCATGATCCGACATGAAACAGACAGGGTATTGGGATGTTGAGAAGGAAAGTATCCCTCTTCATGTGCACCGACAACTTCATCTGGTTCAACTGCTTCCTCGTCGTCGACGCGTTGATGGTGAGGCGCATGTCACCGGGGGCAACGATGGGCATTGGGGTGATGTCGATTTTGTGGATGGTGAGGCCAGAAGCGGATCCTGAAGTTCAATATTAGGGTCACACGTACCAGCTCTGTTGTAGACAGGACTATTAGGTTGAGCATGTCAATGAGCCCTACTTTCGTTTTGTAATTCATCGACATGCGATGACAATATAAAATATCAAAAGTTGATAAAAATCAGCGCATAATTAGATTAATTAACTTGATAATTTGTGTGTAAAGAAATCGATTTTTCCCAAGAGATGCCAATATCCAGCCATATCGTGGTCTTAGCATAAGTGTGATATAAAACCTTCACTCACTTACTCTTCATTGTTTACATGAGCTAATGAAGCTGTTTGGGATCCAAAGTAGGTGTGTGCCATTTTTAATCAAACGGATGCAAATACAGTGTAGATGGAAAAATGTAAATACATTTTGTGTCTTTGTTCCTTCCTGGTTTCCCCAAAAGCCTACAAAACCTCATAACATTTTCATTAGCGTTACCTCCTTGTGTCTGTCCATGCTGCACATTCAGTCAACTCTGTCACGAGCACCAGTGACTACATAGGACTTCCATTAGACCAAGGTTTACACCATTTGTTTTTACGTTATTTATTTATTTATTTATTTATTTATTTATTTCCCACATACAAGCCATCACACTCCAGAGATGTGGTTCAAACATGGCCCAAATATGCAGAATATGTTAAACATTCATGTTGATGATAAAGTAAGATGGATTGCCAAATCTTTGTGTTTAATGCATGTCATACTTGAGAATACTGGGATATAGTTACTGTATGGAAGACTTACAGCCATATCAGTACACATTAGTAACAACACAGTTACTATGGTGAAGACTGGCCGTACAGTCACCTTATGTAAAAATAGGTATTAAAGGTAATTGTATAATTTGTATACTAAACATGTAAAGAATGTTTTTGGAGAATCATGAAAAAAAGTAAGAAAAATAGAAGGAAAAAAAAGACCAAGGTAAGCAATGAAAAATAATTTTAGCAACAAACATTTCGTTCTGTTGGAATGTGATAATATACTCTCCCAAAAAAGAAACGCATCATGAAAATAGCAATTTCATGTAGCAATGAATTAAAACGTGATTCATTTTACAAAATGTTTTGTTCTGTTTATGAGTCCTATGGTGTTTATGTTTTGAAACATCACAACAAAACGCACCATCCGTAAAATACCCGTATTTAACAGCATGATTTTCAATTTCGGCGTGTAGTGTCACAGAATACACAATTTACATGCAATGCACGTGAAAGTTTGGGATCAGATAGTCTCAATGATGTGTATAAAAGGTTGATCGCTGTCTGTCGATTATTCACTGTATTTGGAATATTGTTGACGAACGCACAATGCCACGTCTAAGTGAAGCCAACCGTCATATCGCCATTGGTTTGTTTGAGGCTGGCCAGTCTCAACGTGCAGTTGCCCGACGCATGAATGTTCACCAAAGCACCATTTCACGGCTCTGGGAGAGATATCGCCGGCAGAATGCGGTAGCAGATGCCCCCTCGTAGTGGGCGAACCTCGAGCGACCACTGCGGCGCAGGATCGCTACATCCGGGTACATCACCTGCGTCATCGAACAGCTACGGCGACCAGTACCGCTCGACAAATACCCGGATTGAGGAGGCTTTCTGCACAGACCGTCAGGAATAGGTTGAGAGAGGCTGGTTTACGTGCCAGAAGACCTTATTTTGGCCCTGTGCTTCTACAACAACATCGTCGACATCGAGTTCAATGGTGCACCAACGTTCAGGCCTGGAACCTACCGAATTGGCGTAGAATCTGGTTCAGTGATGAATCACGATTTCTATTGGAACGACGCGATGGAAGAATGCGGGTGTACAGACGTCGACGTGAACGTTTCGTCGACGCTTGCGTTCCCCAGGTGGACAGAGTCGGCCGGGTAAGTGTTATGATGTGGGGAGAGATCACCTGCCGTAGGAGAAGTGATTTGGTGATGATACAGGGAAACCTGACAGCTCAACGGTACTGTGACGAAATCCTACGCCCACACCTCCTTCCAATCATTGATCGCCAGAGGGAGTTGTTTCAACAGGACAATGCCAGGCCCCACACAGCACGTCACACTAGAGACTTCCTCCAGAACCACAACATCAATGTGCTCCCCTGGCCCTCAAGATCACCGGACTTAAACCCGATCGAACATCTGTGGGATGCCCTGGACAGACGGGTGCGACGCCGTAACCCTCAGCCCCAGACACTTCAGCAACTCGCACAGGCACTACAGGCAGAGTGGGCTGCGATTGGGCAACGCGAGATTCTGAGTCTTATTCGTTCGATGCCGAGGCGATGCCGTGCAGTTCTGGATGCCCACGGTGGTCACACGAGGTATTGATTTCAGCGCCACCACACGTCTCCATGTGACACTCAAACTGACTTTCCTCGAGTTGGTGCCAAAGACGGTTAAGTCTGCATTCCCAGTGTGCAATTTCGCTATATTTCATTGACTCATAAAGCCTACAAGATGTTTCAAAATAAACATAAAAATACAGTTGAAATTCCCAGATGCGTTTCTTTTTTGGGAGAGTATATGTCCGAATGCTCTGAAACTAGTTTCTAGCTAAACATGTTAGAACCAAACGTCACTCCTGCTAGTGGTGTCCTTCAAGATCTCAAGAAAACACAACCAGATAAGCCACGTTGCTCAGTTTCAAGGTTAATTTCGCTGGGAACAAACATCTGCTAATTCATTAACACAGGACATTTTGTCATGACAATTAGGAAGTACACATACCGCAGTCAGACCATTCCAGCTTTGTGAGATCAGCCGCAGCACACACCCCGAACCATAGCATTAGACACAGGAGACCCGCCATTGCTGACATTGCGTGGAACAGTGGGGTGCGTCAACTATATCTTATCTCTGGCGCGGCTCCTGCTCCTGATACAGCATACCTCACTTCCACCACTACGTCTTATACAGCGGCCCGGAATATGGATTAGAAGACAGGCGCGTAGCAAGCCAATTTTTCGTGTAAGCCCGATATGTTGGAAAGCTATATATTTAGATAGTATTGAGGGCTCGCCCAACCTTTTTAGCAACAATTATGTGTAAGCCCGGGCTTTTTTTAATAATGGTAGCTACGCCCCGGGAAAAATTATAACAGGAGACTGGTGGATCATGACAAGCGACTATAAGCTTAGCCCTGGATTAAGACATCTTAAGTAAGGCCGTGAACTCCCGTTCTTTCGTGCAGCCGCCCGGGCTCAAGGATTCCCGTGTTTCAGTTTTACGTTGTTTGCAGCAGTTCTGTATTAATGTGAAGGTTGAATCGTCTTGGTATATATTGATATGATTCTGTCCAGGTTGCCATAATATGGGTTCTTCTGGGCAAAGCTTTATTGTGATTGTTTATCCATAAATATTGTTTTTTACCACACATAAATGACAAATACATACTTCCCACTGAACATTTCATAAAGTTCGCTATCTTAGGATTAAGCTACGTTCGACAAGCAATTGTATAAAGATCAGATGCTTTTGAAAAAGAAAATACACTATCCGAAAAAATCAAATTTTACCGACAACATAATATACCCGTCCTTATATGGACAAAAGGTATAGACAGTAGTCAATCATCCAAGTGAGGTGTCTCTTTGTTATAGATAATAACTTCAGTTCTGTCCATATGATCAGTGGTGCTCAATATGCACCTGATAACAATGAGCAAGTGAGTATGGTTTTAGGCCGCTTTTAGCAACATCACAGTTGACAGACATTCAATAATTTGCTGTTACACCCTTTAACTTTGGAGGTAAAACTCTAAAAATAATTTTTGTAGTTATGACAAAGGATACAAATAGTGAGTGACTTTAGTTTTACGCCGCCTTAAGCAATATCACTGCGGGGGACACCAGAAATGGGCTTCACGCATTGTACCCATGTGGGGAATCAAACCCGGGTCTTCAGCGTAAAGAGTGAACGCATTGACCACTAGGCTACCCCACCGCCCCAAGGATACAAATATCATATAACTTATTTTCATCATACACACACATACTCGAGCGAATTAAGCGTAATAATTGGTGCCAGATGTGACATTGACGGACTGTAGTGTTCACTTGTTATGCATAGGCCAGAACACCCATACGGGTTTGGACTGACAACTGTCTACACTAGCTATATGGAACAACACTTTCAACCAAAATGAGAGGTGTTTTATCAGTCTTAAGAACCACCTAAATGCAAGAAATACAATGAATAACAAAACCCATCGCGTTACCTTATAGTGAAACATTACCGTGGCGGTATAATACGAATTCGTTTACAGCGTGCCAGGGAGACCACGTGCAGAGAACAGACCTCATTCACGTGTAAGTCTGAACAACCTTTCATCAATGATCCCAAATCAGTACATTTGTAACAAACGCGAGGTGCGGTTTATTTTGTATCTTCTAAGACAGATGAAAAATCTGAAACGTTTACAAACAAAATACCCATGAAATTTTGCATGAACCCTCTAAGAAACGGACGTAAAATATCTCTCGCCGTCAGCGATGCGGCCACTCCACCGCTAGTGTTCAGCAGTCCCGGCCGCATCACTTCCGCTCATCCCATTCTGTGGTGCTATGGGTTATTGAACTGATTTTACGCTGCTTTTAGCAATATTCCAGCAATATCACGGCCTGGCGGGGGACACCAGACCCTCGGTGAAGCAGTACTCAAACTCACTACGCCTAGATACAAAGTTGAAGATTCCATTTCTCTCACATATATGAAACATTTGCGGTGTGAGATGAAATTGGGTTTAACGTCGTACTTAAAGGTCACATGCAACGTAAAACACAACTTTGCAGATTCTAATACCTTTCGGTATGGTCTTACCGAAACAAAGCGTCAAAAAATGCAAATTCAACTTATAAAGTTGAAAAATAACGCGATGAAAAAAAACGCGCGAAATCGGAGTTCAAACGTTTCACTAATTTTCCCCAGACTTTTCTGGGGAATACGGGTTTCAACAGCTGGGCTGCGCTCATAGCACGTGCGCAGTGAAATAGGTTCGCGCAACTAGGAAGCGGGCTGTCTGGTGAATACTCGGTGAAGGCTTTGGTGTGAGCTATTTTCATAATGTTTTGTTGATATCTCACAGGCGCGAGCTTTTTTATATGTTAGGACAGTAAATAAACTGTTTATATAATTTCATTTGTCTATTTCACCACACGTTCTTCTTACCGAGTCACTTTCTCAGTTCGATACTTAAAAGCAATGTCATTATTTAGCGTTGACACAATTTCTAACTGTGATATAGATATGTCGCTGTCACAGACAAAACTCAATGTCTTGTTTTATTGACACCTGTGTGTCTGCCTGCCTGTCTGCTAATGACAATATTCAATACACAACTGCGATCACTGACCACATGCAATTTGAACTTAACACCAATCAGGCTATACACCATAAACAAAACGCATTGATTTATGGCCCGAGTTCGGTCTCTGTCACATTATGTAATTACACAGACAGGCAGGTGTGATACTTAAACACATGACATGTTATGATGTCTGTTGATTGCAAAATGTTATACACAAAAAATGAGCATGTATTTACAAAACCCAACATCTCAAAATATACACACACAATGAACCGTGAAGACGGCATCTGCAAATGAACCAGCCGTTAAACTTGAGTGCACACCCACCCGCTCTGACTGGGTTCGGTATCCCGGCTGCTTCGTTTCGAGGGAGGTAAACCAAAGTACACAATATTGCGCTTTTGATTTGCGATTATACGCTTATAATTTTGTTTATTTGTTTTGTCATAATCAGCAAAGCATATTATATGTCATGAAGAAGTGATAATTGTGTTTTAATTATGTTTGATTTTTTGGTTGCATGTGACCTAAGAATATTTCGCTCATATGACCACGTGCATGCGTGTGTATGTGTGGCTGCTTGTACTAGACCAGAATTAAGCTGGTTTTATAATACCAGCTCACTGAGATAACATGCCTCAGTTAAGCATGAATACCCCACTCAGACACATTATACTGACCCAGGACCGACCAATCCTTGTCGTACCCATTAATGCCGAGCGCCAGGCAAGGACTAGCAAGTACCATATTTTAATGTCTTTTGGTATGATGAAGCCGGGCATCGAAACCTTCCGCCCTCTCTCCGGAGGACGCTCTGAAACATTTGCTCTCTGATTTTACATCATTCCAAAATTGTAATGTGTGCTGTGTGGACAATTCTCTAGGAGAGCCTCCTGCTGTGAGGATATATATAGACAAGGACTCAATAAGATGAGTGAGTGAGTGAGTTGGATATTACGCAGCTTACATATTTTGCAAATATAATGTACAGTTTTAGATAGTGATGAGTATACTTGGTGTAATTAGTTTTAGCTTGGGGTGAGGGGCCTTCGTTTGAGCGAGAAATTGTTATGTTACTAGTGGTACAGCTTGGGGTTTGATGAATTCAGCTTTGGTCAGTTAATTGAATGTGGCCAGCCAGCTTATAGGGAGAAGCTCGGTGATTCTGATCTATTTTTTTTATAGCTGGGATGTTTCTTGAGGACGGGATTTTTACCAGTTGTGGTTGTACCCATGATGTGAATTCACAAACTTGCACCCACGTCGGGACTGTGTCAAATATGGAAACTAGGAAATCATGGTGTACAGTTTTGGAAGGATTTAAAAATGAGGTGACTATGCCATATTGCTTTGCCCATAATATAGCTAAGACAATTCCCTCTTCACTTTCCACATTTGTAAATTGGTAACCTGTATCAGCCTTCTGTTAGGACAGTATAAATAAATCTTCCTCAATTAGTCAGATTGTTGTGTGATCCATTTTCATTGTGCGAGTGAATTAGTGTCATATACCCCTTTATCACACCTTCACTCGTAACGCAATATTCCACCAATATCACGGGGTGGACACCAGAAATGGGCTTCACACATTGTACCCATGTGGGGAATTTAACCCGGGTCTTCGTGTGAAAGCTTCAACCACTTAGCTACACCAACGTCCCCTCAATAAGATGAACACAATAAGATCATTTCAGGGAGTTGAACACTAGCTCACACAAGATGTGTTGTTCCTCATCCCCTCGGCTTCATAATGAAAAACAAAACACCGATTCTGTAATGCCACTGCATTTATTACAGTGCTGTTGTCAAGGTAACCAACAATATACATGTATGTGTAGAGTTCTAGAGGAGCACCTCTGTCCTTGCCGTGTAACTAGTGAGCTGACAACATATCAAGGGCTACCATCGCTTACCTGGATCACAATAATCTACAGCCCAGCATCAAACTCGTCTCTTTGGTTCAACAAAGCTTTTGACAGCCCAGCATTGAGAAAAGGACGTCTCAAGGTGGAAGGTGTTGAAACAAAAACAAAGACATTTCACCCTCTGTAACATTTAACTAAGTCACAGTGGAAGTTCAAATTTAAAAAGTCAAATTTTGCAGAAAAAGTTTAAAAGATTCTGCGACTCTCTGTCCCAAGGAATTAATCATGGGATAAAACCTATGAGCATAAAGAATGGGCCTAGTGTTCTTTTCATGTCTATTGGGCCCATAGAGTGAATGTGTGAGTTTACTTTTACACCACTATTAGCAATATTTCAGCAATATCATGGCAGAGGACACAAGAAATGGGTTTCAAACATTGTACCCATGCGGAGAATCAAACCCGGGTCTTTGCGTGACGAGTGAACACTTTAACCACTGGGCTACCCCACCACCCTCTGTGCCCATTAGATCCATGTACCGGAGACCTCTCCTGTATCAAATAACAAGCCATCAAGTGTGTGTGCTTCCCAATCATAATGCTGCATAAACAGTTTGCAATAGTGGACCTGAAATACTTCCTAGAAGAAAGCCCCTCCTTGCTTGGCTGAAACAAATATGATACAAACATAACTAGTTTCCTTTATGATCATTGTAAAATACCATTGGCAAATTGAATAGTGGTGCTATGTGTTCATGCATAGTCCATATGGAGATTAGTAGACAGGAACATATTCTCCAGTACACAGAAGCCCGTCAGTCTGGATCTTGCATCCCGTTGGGGCCACTTACACCTATTTAAAGGAACATCTCCACATACACATGACTTAATTATCTGGAACCCGTGATTCGGAACCATCTGACGGGAACATTATTTTTTACACTTCCTCTCTCAGTACGACCTAAAAATGTAAAGTACCATTTTTTCAAGTCTATTCAAGTTTTAGTGAGTTAATCAGCAAGACAAAATGTTACTTGGCATGAAAATGACTATTTCCTGGTTGTACGTACACAAGTATTGTTAGCAGAACAGACGCCTGTTACATGTTTTGCTTGTTTCTAGTTATTCCCATCCAGGATGACTACGCAACATGGCAAGTAATTAGTTCTCAAGAATGATATGATACCACAAAGACATGTAAGTTATCACTACATATTACTACAGTGCTGGTAAGTGACATTCATAGCTAGGCTACAACTACCCATTAAAGTCACCTGTACTTATCGCTAACATCAATAGATTAGGCCTTTTTTCAAAATCTTGGGATAATAAAAAAGAGAGGGCATTACAGTTATTGAAATGGTCAGATTTGGCACAAGATATGTTTTGATATGTACTGACATCCTATGATATACATAGTGAGAGATATTTTAAAAGTTACCTGGTGTGCAACAAACAGCCCACGAAATATCTCTGACATCAAGATGGACACCTGCGTGAAATACCTGTCCATGTTACAACTGACACGCTTACCCATTTCTCATTGTCAAGTGTATGTCATTGTCATCAACGAGTGGAGAAGAAGATACATCTTTAGACCCCTAAATTTACAAAATTCTAAACGTAACAATTCTTAGCATTCATGAGAGACTATGTGAACTTTACCTCACTGAAACACCCCTTGTTGGGTTTATAAAACATATCAGTAAGTCTGGAGCTCAAAAGAATCAAAATACAACAAATAGGTTCTTTTCATTTATAACATTCAGCACCAATGCTATTTCTTGATGTATTTTCAACTAATGGTAAACCAGGTAATAAAACATTTACTGTTGGACTTTCATCCAACTACCACTCTACAGTAAATATGAACCTTGCTCCTGCAATATTAACCTCTAGGCTGAAGTGATGGTTACATCCTACAAGTTCATTTTTGATAACTTCAACCTATCTTCAGAAGGCTGTACGAGATCTAAATATGTCGGTTTTAATCAGATTTTCCACTTTTTCCTATTATTTTGTGTAGTCAAAGGAATTGAAAAATTATTCTGCTGAACAAACGAAAAGATTACTGAGACAAGTCTCATAGTGGTAAGATATCACCTTAAACCGATGCATTAATCTCATGAACAAAGTAAGTGTGGTCACATATCATGTAAAACAATAACAAATATATAGTGAAATATCAAAAGGAACAAAATACAGCAACAAAAAGTTTGACAAACACAGCGGATGTCACCTCAAGGCCATGTTTCGAAGAGCTGCGGCAGTGGCGGCGGCAACACGGCCGTAAGCGGCATATACAAACTTATGATTACAATAGATCGTTCATGTCTTCAAGGCCAGAGGTCATTGTCAGACTTGTTTTGTCAGGTTAGAAATTGAGCTATACATCCACTGGTAGAAACACTAAAGATCCTGTAAAGCCAAATGTCTGGTCACACAATTCCAGTTATTCTGATTTCCTGTCCAAGAATGTTCTAGAACTATACAGAGCATTGACAGAACATATCTGTAAAATGTGTCGGTAAATTAGCTCTTTAACATTACAAATGCTTTTTACTGTCCGGCGCCAGTATTTCTGATTTGGACATGGACTAATGTCTATTCTGACCTTCAAGACTACAACCTATATGTCCACTTGTCATTAACAGTAACATAGTTAAGGAGAATATTGACAATAGCAGGCTACTTCAAAGTCCACTGTTACCTGTCATGTGGTACAAGGAATATCATGTTGATTCACCAAAAGAATCAATCGCAAAAAATGAAAGTATCTTATCCATTTTTATCCCCAACCTGTTGTGCGTTAAGATTCCTAAAATAGATACATCACTTTTTTCATTGACGTATGTAATACAGATACAGTAAAATCATAAAATGTCACTTGTCTCGAACTATACAGTTATCTGCCCTTGCTATGTCCTAAAATCAGGACACAAAATCCTGACGTGTAATGTTGTAAATCATATCCGTGGAAAGAAAACAATATACAGAATTTGTTCAAAACTGACAGATTCTCAATAAAACTATATCTTTCAGTGTTCAAACAAGCTCACCTCAAGCTTTTCTATTCATATGCATGTGCTATTTAAACGACATAATCAGAAAGAGTGAAAAACATCCAGTAGAAGTGATGGACAAATTGTACGTAACACTGCAATCATTACTGTACACAAATCCTCGGACCACAGTATTCTCTTGGTTCTGGTAGGTGCACGGCACTCATCTGAAACAACTTGTGCACTTGTGAACAGGGAGACTTAAACAATAAAGAATTTCAACACTTTTCTGCATACACTGACAGACTCAATCCCCATGCTTTCAGATAAGAAATCTTAAGCACAGATTGTCCTGAGATTGATTTATCCTCCTGGTATATTCAAGTCGCTACATTGTTTCAACATTCATGACTTCTCAAATGACAAATCCTTAAATCAGTTAAAACTTAGAAAACAAAATAGATCTTTCATCTTTCGAATCTATTCACACCTAGTGCACTAGATGAGTAGTAAAGCTCCACTGTGCGCGTTGAAGGAGAATTTCCCCAAACCTGTCTTAAAGCAAGGAATTCATTTGTAGATGTTAACCTACTACCTCACTATAACATTACACCAATGGTTACCTAGTTGTTTCAATCCTTCCTTCAAACAACATCCTATAAAATAAACTGATCTTCAAGTATATATAAACTGACCTTCAAGTATATATAAACTGATCTTCAAGTATATATAAACTGATCTTCAAGGATATAACAAGATCTTGTAAAGAAGACTCAATGCCAGTGACAAACTAATTTTTCTATGTAGGCAGACAAGTTTATTTCTAAATCTCTGTGAAGAAATTCTACTCAACTACCCAAGGTTAAATCCCACACCAAGCAGGGTCATGTTGTCAGTTACGATCACATCACACTACACACACATTGAGTGCTGCATCCAACCCTATCAACCACTCTGAAGGCACATTACAGAATGTCCATTCAGGAAATTAAAGAACACATATTAAAACGAACAGTAAATTTCATGGTTGCCTGTTTTCTTTACTCAGGTCAGAAACAGCAAGATCCCACTGTAAAAAATACATTCTCCTGACATAACAGACACATTGCATTGTTAGTTTTACTGTGTAATCAAAACGACATGACAGATAATTGGAAATCCTAACAGTAGAAAATGTAAATGAAGGAAGTATTTTACTAGGGGTGAACCGTTATTCCGCAGAATTAATAGAACTACAGTATTTTGCCTTAGGTTCGGTATACTGTAATGCAATGCAAAAATTCGGTATTTATACTGCCATGTCTATCTAGTTCATTCAAAATAACAGATTATGGTTATTCTTTTCCATGATATTAAACAATGTAAGGTTTGGCTCTTGTCGTCAATTTTCTGCATTAAGATCATATCTCATATACCGAGCTGAAACAGACCGAACTGAAGACCTTGTACCACAACACGTACCGTCCATACCGTGGTAAGAACATACCGTTTCACCCTGATTTTTCACTTATCTGCAATGTGCTCATCTCTCTCAAACAGATTTGGGCCTATAACAGCATTATATAGTAATACAGGATGATATGAAGTTGCAAGGTTTTGTTACATGGACAAACTTGCTTAACAATTACAACACATTTTACGGAGAACTTTAAAACCATTAAATTTGTAGAGTTGACTGCAGAATCTCAAAATATATTCAATACAAAGAACTCTGCAAATCTGCCCCAAAATAGGAATTTCTTGTTAGAGTATGCTTGGAATATGTTAATTGTGTCATCAGAGGTCAATGACACACCTTTACATGACATTTTACAAATCATGCATTAATAGGGTTGAACACAGCTGTAATACTTTCATGATGTTGCTAGGATACATGCTTGATGTACCTTTAGCACTCAGCAGGTTCCAATATCATGAATTTAAAAGATTTCACTAACACCACTGTCACAAACCATATGTCTAGAATCCAGTTAGAAGTTGAGCATTTCAATACTATCTGATGATACAATTATATCTAGTCAACTATATTGTCTGTGATACAATTATATCTAGTCAACTATATTCTCTGTGATACAATTATATCTAGTCAACTGTATTGTCTGTGCTTGTCACGACATTACCTCAACTCAAGTCATGCAAGTTTCAATGTTTCCTACATAAAACATGTTTTACTAAAGGTCAAACATATCTCTTGTTTTACAGATTTTCTTGAATAAAATGCTGATATGATCACATTTGAAAAAAAGTCACAAAACACAAAAACAAAATTATGCTTTATAAACATCCATTTTTTCATCCAAACCATGGATTGTAATTATTTTCATTAAAGTACATGTTTAGGGTATATTAATCAAGTATACAAGATAATTAGTTTGGCCTCATCGAGGAAAAAAACAAAACAACCTACCCATAATTACTTTGTTACATTGTTAAGATCTTAGAATAATAAAAGCCGAATTGAAACATTCAAATTATTCATAACAAATATCATAGCGCGATAATAACTATCTTGTATCGACAGAAGTTATTCAAAATCTTGCAAAGCTTTTATTTATTGATGCAGCGTAGACATGTTTAATTGGTTGGAAAGACAATCATTCAACCCCCCTGTCTCCAGACGATGTCTGAGAGGTGATTCCAGTGGTGAACCGATGAGTACCGGGAACAACACGTCGCGACCCTGCTGTAACCTCTATATCACAGTTGGCTACTGTCTCTCCTGGTTCTTGCCAAGGTTAACTGGCTGCTGCATCGTTGATGGTAAGCTGGGCAAAGCCGATTAAAGCCTTGTCACACGGAGCCTCGTTTTGACCACAACCAGAGTTCTACAAGGGAGAAATTTGAGTTTGAAGTAGTTTCAAAAGCCTGAGAAAGAGCAGTAAACACATGACCATTTCTTGTGTGTTAAGATGGCACACAATCAGGTGACCACACAATCACTCATCACGTAATCCTCACCTTAGACCGACGTCACCATCAAATGCCCTATTTAGTTGAAGTGACCAGTTCTGAGATTACACAAAGTTAGTCTAAGCCAACAGTGCTGAGATACCAAAAGCCCTGTTAAGTCAAAGCTACAGTACTGAGATCATCCCTTTTAAAAGTCACATATGGTGTCAACCATTCTCAACAGGGGTTGATTTAAGGAAATGAAACTTACTTACACCCAGTGCAACCTGAGGCAATCACCTTGTTGCACCAAACAAAACAGGTTGCACCTGCTGCTTAATATAAAATCTTATATAATGCTTGAGTTTTGGTAAAGACGCTTTCGAACGGCATTATAACAAAATAAATCTGTAGTTATCTTACTTCCTTAACTTTCACGAACAGCAAGTCCTATAGGGACTGTTCCCACAATAATCAGAGTCACTGTTCCAAGTCAGTACCTCATCATTCTGTTTCTAGCTGAAGTCTGTTTTCTTTGAACACAAAATATCAACATCCACTGGGTGCAAGTTGATATACATAAGAGGTTGCATTTAGCAGTTTCAGGTTGCACCAGTGCAAGTTCTAAATGCTTAAATCGAGCCCTGCTCAATTTTATCCAGAGACTTGAGCATTAAGTCCCTATATCAGCCAGCAGGGCATGAACAGCCGTTATGTTATGGTAGAGTGACCATCCCATGTAGGTAAACATTACCATCAATGCCTCGTGAGATTAGAGAGGCCCAGTGATCAGCTGAAACTTTACTCACCAATGCAAACGTCAAGTTCCTCTGATCCTTGTTGTCCAAGATCTTCTGAAGATTTGCTGCCACTGAAACAGCGAACAGTCAACACTCAGTCATAATGACAGACCATAGCTAGATGCAATCATGGCATGAGATAATGAGCTGAAAAACAGCCATGACAGTTCTGGTGGAGGCCAAGAAAAATCACTTCTGATATGTTTGTCTTTCTCAACATACACTGATTCACAGAATGGGTTCCTCCAACAAATGTCAGACATGAATACACATATCCCATAAATAGACACTCTTTTCAAAATGGCGACCTCTGAGCGGACTGAAACAAACAATATAATCCTCCTAATCTCCACTGTAGTCCAGTAGACCTATTGCGATCAGTAAACAGTATAACTTGTTACATCTGGGGTTACACTTTCTCAGTAAAGTACAGATTCTTCTACTTTTATTAGGTTGAGTCCCATCTGAAATGCACACAGCGACCTAACCCACTCAAACATACACTCTCAAAGTCAGGCACCACGCCAGCACACAGCGACCTAACCCACTCCGACATACACTCTCAAAGTCTGAGGGTGTGGGTTCGAATCCTGGATGTTACTCAACCCAACAAAAGTACTAGAATCTGTACTTTACAAAGACTGACTGACTGACTGAGTTTAGTTTTACGCCGCTTTTAGCAATATTCTAGCAATATCACGGCGGGGGACACCAGATATGGGCTTCACACATTGTACCCATGTGGGGAATCGAACCCGGGTGTTCGGCATGACGAGCCAACGTTTTAACCACCAGGCTACCCTGCCGCCCCACACTTTACAAGAAAGTGTAATTCCAAATACAACATTTGTTACATTTGACAACTTTCTAAATAGCATTGTGTATTCAATCCCTCCTGAAGTCCGCTGTCTCAACAAGCATGGCTGAGACCTCTTCTGGTGGACCCACTGGGACAAATGGAAGTAAACAGTAGTGCTCTCCATGCTGTGGACACTCACCCACGATCATATCCTTGCCATTCACAAGTCCTGCTTCAACGAGTTCTCTGGAAACACTATCCGATGTATCTGCAAACAGACATCTACAAGTGAGCATGTACAATCAGTCAACTCAACCTGTTCAGGTGGCTTCTAAAACACACTGGTTTGCTGAATGATCTTCAAAGGGTATTGATTTGTATAAGAAAGATATACAACTTACTACCTGACAACCTTGTGACAGACGTTATGACTCACATCGTCAGGTACAATGAAACACAATCACCTGATTGCTGAACCTGACATCGCCCATCACAGTAGTGACTGTCAACAGCTGAGCCAGCCAAGCCTGGTTGTACACTTTGTCTGGTCTAGTAAAGTCATATTTGGCCATCGTGCAATTAGGAACCAGAACTGGTTCTTGAATATACGCTTGTCACCGGAAATCTGGTACCAGAAGCAAGCTGGGCCCCGTCTCACATATCACAAGTTGGCGAGCAAAAAGGGAGCCGGGAACCAGCTTAGTACCAGAAGTAGCGCTTCGCTAAGACTTACACAGGCCCTATTGCCCCCTGGATAGTGTTCTATAAACTGACTGAGTATGGTTTTACGCTGTTTTTTAGCAATATTCCACCAATATCACGGCAGAGGGACACCAGAAATGGGCTTCACAAATTGTACCCATGAGGGGAATCGAACCCAGACCTTCAGCGTGATGAGCGAACGCTCTAACCACCGCCCCTATACAACTCAAAAGACATCATGGAACAAAGAGATTCTGTCATATTAATGTAATGTATGTTATGCCACAACCAGTTCACTCCGGTGATATGAAAGGACTGAGTAGTCCTTCACTTCTTTCAGCAGCAGCCATATCTACATTGTATCTTGTAGCATATCTACATTGTATCTTGTGTGTCCCAAAGTACCTTGTGACTTCATAATAGCAATCAACCTACCTTGCCCTGGGGTGAAGTCGAACTTGATATCATTCAGCTCTTTCTTGTCATTCCTGTTGGAGAAGGAACAAAACATTGATCAGTCAACACAACTACTGTCATAATAGTTCAGTCTTTAGTCGAGAACATAGCGGGTGTCAGGTGTGGTAGCTAATGCTGATTTGATCCCTGCGTGTCAGAACCTGGATATTTTGCACTTTGTTGAAAGCCACAGGAAGCAAACAACCACTGCCCTAGCCCATAATGATCATCTTGAGAAGCTTCCAACATGCACAAAATAAGAGGGAAGTTTGTTTAATGCTGTACACAGCAATATTCCAGCTATAAAGTGACAGTCAGTAAATATCAAATCTGGACCAGACAATACAGCGATCAACATCATAACTTGATAAGCATCGATCTAGGCAACTGGGATATGATAACATGAGTCAACAAGTCAGCGAGCCTGACCATCCGATACCGTTAGTTACCTCTTACAAACAAGCATTGAGTGGTGAAGACCAATTCCAATCAGGATCTTCACGGGTATATAAAGGGAAGTAGTGGACATGGCTGTACAGCAATACTACCACAGCTAATGGCAGCTAGAGACAAGCGTGTAATGAGATGATAATATGATGCCATACCTTAGTCGCAGGACAAGGTTGATAGACTGGGAGATAACTGCTGGCTGGAAGAAATAACACTTCAGATGTATGCCATATATTGCCATGGTAACTACCAAAATTTAAAAAAAATCAAACTCCATTGTTGTCCAATGACACTTTTGCATCTCATCACATCATTAACAGGTAAACGTTAACAAGAGTGCATTACAAAATCCCACCGTCCCTATCTACAGAGTGCATTACAAAATCCCACTGTCCCTATCTACAGAGTGCATTACAAACTCCCACCGTCCTTATCTACAGAGTGCATTACAAACTCCCACCGTCCCTATCTACAGAGTGCATTACAAAATCCCACTGTCCCTATCTACAGAGTGCATTACAAACTCCCACCGTCCCTATCTACAGAGTGCATTACAAACTCCCACCGTTCCTATCTACAGAGTGCATTACAAACTCCCACTGTCCCTATCTACCCTCCCACCGTCCCTATCTACAGAGTGCATTACAAAATCCCACCGTCCCTATCTACAGAGTGCATTACAAAATCCCACCGTCCCTATCTACAGAGTGCATTACAAAATCCCACCGTCCCTATCTACAGAGTGCATTACAAACTCCCACCGTCCCTATCTACAGAGTGCATTACAAACTCCCACCGTCCCTATCTACAGAGTGCATTACAAACTCCCCCAGGTGCATTACAAACTCCACCGTCCCCTATCTACAGAGTGCATTACAAACTCCCACCGTCCCTATCTACAGAGTGCATTACAAACTCCCCCACATTACAAACTCCTTATCTACAGAGTGCATTACAAACTCCCACCGTCCATCTACAGAGTGTCGTCCCTATCTACAGAGTGCATTACAAAAATCCCAGAGTGCATTACAAACTCCCACCGTCCTATCCCTATCTACAGAGTGCATTACAAACTCCCACTGTCCCTATCTACAGAGTGCATTACAAAATCCCACCGTCCCTATCTACAGAGTGCATTACAAAATCCCACCGTCCCTATCTACAGAGTGCATTACAAACTCCCACCGTCCCTATCTACAGAGTGCATTACAAACTCCCACCGTCCCTATCTACAGAGTGCATTACAAAAACTCCCACCGTCCCTATCTACAGAGTGCATTACAAAACTCCCTATCTACGTGCATTACCTATCTACAGAGTGCATTACAAACTCCCCACCGTCCTTATCTACAGAGTGCATTACAAACTCCCACCGTCCCTATCTACAGAGTGCATTACAAACTCCCACCGTCCCTATCTACAGAGTGCATTACAAAATCCCACTTTCCCTATCTACAGAGTGCATTACAAACTCCCACCGTCCTTATCTACAGAGTGCATTACAAACTCCCACCGTCCCTATCTACAGAGTGCATTACAAACTCCCACCGTGTCCTATCTACAGAGTGCATTACAAACTCCCACCGTCCCTATCTACAGAGTGCATTACAAACTCCCACCGTCCCTATCTACAGAGTGCATTACAAACTCCCACCGTCCCTATCTACAGAGTGCATTACAAACTCCCACCGTCCCTATCTACAGAGTGCATTACAAACTCCCACCGTCCCTATCTACAGAGTGCATTACAAACTCCCACCGTCCCTATCTACAGAGTGCATTACAAACTCCCACCGTCCCTATCTACAGAGTGCATTACAAACTCCCACCGTCCCTATCTACAGAGTGCATTACAAACTCCCACAGAGTCCCTATCTACACCGTCCCTAGTGCAGTGCATTACAAACTCCCACCCGTCCCTATCTACAGAGTGCATTACAAACTCCCACCGTCCCTATCTACAGAGTGCATTACAAACTCCCACTGTCTATCTACAGAGTGCATTACAAACTCCCACCGTCCCTATCTACAGAGTGCATTACAAACTCCCACCGTCCCCCTATCTACAGAGTGCATTACAAACTCCCACCGTCCCTATCTACAGAGTGCATTACAAAATCCCGCCGTCCCTATCTACAGAGTGCATTACAAACTCCCACTGTCCCTATCTACAGAGTGCATTACAAACTCCCACCGTCCCTATCTACAGAGTGCATTACAAACTCCCACCGTCCCTATCTACAGAGTGCATTACAAAATCCCACTGTCCCTATCTACAGAGTGCATTACATCATCATCCACTAACGACAACCAATGCCAGTTATCAGTGTGCTGCTACCACCCACCTTCTGTTCCTGGACCTCTAGCTGACCTACAGATGGGTTGGACGTCTCAGGGGTGGGGGATGTGGCAGCCTCAGGCACGGGGCCCCCGGGGGCCAGGGTGTTGGGGGTTGGGCCAGCTGGGGCACCTCCAACATTGTTGGCTGCATCAAGCTAGGGAAGACATTGACAAAGGTGAGCGAGAAAATGATTGCCAGCTATATTTGAGCCACATCATGAAGGCCTCGCTACAATCACAGACAACAGATACCTGAGGTAAGATGACAAAGTAGGGTAAGTATATATGACAAAAACAGCAGATAAAACAGTGTTACTCTGGGCCAAGGGGGTTTAATATCACAATCTTACATCATGGATTTCTAAGAGTTTAGTTTTACCCCGAACTCAGCAATATTTCAGCTATATGGCGGCGGTCTGTAAATAATCGAGTCTTGACCAGACAATCCAGTGATCAACAGCATGAGCATCGATCTACACAATAGGGATACGATGACATGTGTCAACCAAGTCACCCGATTCCGTTATTCGCCTAAAGCATGGTTTGCTGAATTCTAACCCGGATCTTAACGGGTCATTCAGAGCATGGAACAAGTTTTGTTTGTCATCAGTGGCATGTCCTTGGGGTAAATAGTCCCCATGTTGGATTCCCTTTCAAATTGTTATGGCAGGCTACATGTGTATCAGCTGGTCTAGACAAGGAACACATGTGACTGAAAGCACAAGCCATGACCTATGATTCCAAATCAGCCAAGAAATACATTGCAAAAACCAAATTCTCAATAAAATACACTCAGAACAGCTGTGCACCAATTCTTCAAGAGAAACCACACTGGTATTTACAAGTATGTTGAAGTCAGGAATAAACTTCACCCCAGAATAAACATAGGAAGCATTCAGTAATAACTCTTTACACCTTCAGAACATTTCCTCCATGGAACTAAAACAGGCAACATGGATGATAGAGCTTACCTCAACTGGAGCATTTCGTATTCTGGGAGACTGAAACAAAACAGAGGGCAACATCAACATCAACATTCAACATCATCTCCTCAAATAATTGGATTTTATTAGCAATGTTGATTTTATATATTCAGTGGTATTTAGACATTGTTTCCAGAATTAACTATGAGTAAACAACAATGTAATGTCTCTGGAACAAGACTGGGTTGGCTACAGGTGGCCACAGCTGTCAGTGATCAGTAAATCCATCTCCTCCTTATCATGATGCCTCCATGAGCGAGTTGCACGCACCCTTTCACACAAGATAGCTGCTAGACCCTCCTCTGACTCCTGGTCCATCTCCTCATCAGACCACTCCCACTGACCGTCCTGTGTCCGGTGAAGCCGACCACTCGAACCCGGCACTCTCTTCACCTGTTGCAAAACACACAGAGATTAATTACATTGAGTGACTGTTGTCAGCCATGTACCACAGCAGTATCACAACACACTGCTAGCCTGTGGAGACAAGGACTACTGAGGGCAGTCTTGTAACAGCAGTACAACTGTGTTAACATTACCTTGAGGATGTATTAGGTATTGTCATCGAGTAATCTTAAGTAATTAGTAGGACGGCAAATAATGGATAACACTAGGAGTGAAACGGTATGCTCTTACCACGGTATGGTATGTATTGCAGTACAAGGCCCTTGGTTTGGTCCGTTTCGGTTCGTTCGTATCGGTTCGTTATATGAGATATGATCATAATGCAGAAAATTGACAAGAGCCAAAACTTACATTGTTTCATAACATGGAAACAAATAGCCATAGTCTTCGTTATTTTGAATAAACAAAACTATCATTTTATGACTCGATGGAAATGACAGTACGAAAACCGAAAATACAGATTTTTTGGGATTGCATTACGGTATACCGAACCGAAGGCGAAATACCACGGTTCTACTAATACCGCGGTATAATGTTTCACCCCTAGATAACACTACTGCCATGTTGGTCACCAGATTCACAGCAGTTTGGATGTAACTCACAGAGTTTAAAAGCCACTTTCTTACAAAAGGTTCCACCGATCCAATGAATACCAAACATAACAGTATTTCTTTAACACAATGTTACAGCATTGGTTAGTATAAACAGCCAGATATCTTGACTGAAATGACCTTTTACCAGTGACTTTTAGTTTTACGCGCCGCTTTACCAATAGTCCAACAATATCATGGCAGGAGAAACCATGGGCTTCACACATTGTACCCATGTGGGGAATCGAACCCGGGTCTTCGGTGTGACAAGTGAGCGCTTTAACCACTAGGCTACCTCACCGGCCGGACCTTTTACTAAATTCCTAGCCAGGATCAGCAAAATACAGTTACTAACTCTGTTTTCATCATTTGAATTTTATCATGTTCATGCTATTATTTATTTACTTACATTGTATCAACCCTCCTCCCCTGAGATGCACCTACCTTCTGGGGTTTCACATTTGTCCCATCAGACAGCAGGACCTTGGTGATGTAACTCTTGTCCTGAAACAGAACCAGTTAATGTACATCTTAACCGTTCAGCTTCTATTGCATGGAAACCTGTCATGTAAAAAAACCCTGAAGATTGTGGAATGAAAGACTGACCTTTAACCATCAAGTCAAAAGATACAATGGTGAAAAAACTACCAACTTACTACATTGTCAAAATATTGCTCATGGTAACCAGATATACAATGTATCATCCAATTTAAGTTCACTCATGTTAAACCTGGATATATGTTATACTGCAACTTTGCAAGTGCCCTGGGACACACTCAAACAAATTTGAAAGTGCCCTGGGGCACACTGACTTAACTTTGCAGGTTCCCTGGGGCACACTCAAACAACTTTGCAAGTGCCCTGAAACAGATCTGATGATATGAAGTGTATCTGTGTATTGTTAACTGACGTATTAACACAAAACGTACCTTCGCCTTCTTGAAGAAATCATGTTTTAACAACTGCTTTGCTGTTGGCCTGAAAAATAATGTAAACAATTAAATATTTGACTGTGACGACAAAAGGACAAACTACTTTCAAGATACTTGAAGTTTTTCTATTTAGCATGAAGCTATTTGGCCACAATGCTTATTGCTGAGCCCTCACATATTATTACATAGATCGCTGTTATTACAGACCCGTGAAGGTCCGGGTTAGAATATTGATCTTCAGTAATCCATGCTTGTTGTAAGAGGCGACCAACGGGATCGGGTGGTCAGGCTCGCTGACTTGGTTGACACATGTCATCAGTTCCCAAATGCGCATATCGATGCTCATGCTGTTGATCACTGGATTGTCTGGTCCAGACTCGATTATTTAGAGACCGCTGTCATATAGCTGGAACATTGCTGAGTGTGGCGTAAAACTAAACTCACTCACTCACTCACTGTTATTACACATATTTCACACAATTTAGCTTTCACTACATTTTGGTGAAAATCATAACAACAACAAAATATTCTTTAAAGTCCAACAATGAGCTTTGAATCAGAGCAATGATAAAGATAGGTATTTTGTTGAAGCACTTTCACAATTCTTTCACAACTGACTACCAACCTTTTCTCCGGCTCTCGTTTCATGCAGTCGCTGATCATCTTACGGAACACCTTGCTGTAGGCCTTGTACTGCTCCTTGTCTTCCGGCCCGGTGTCCAGACTAGGGGGGTCATTCTGGAGGGTCAGCATCAACACCTGGGGGCAGGGAGGGAGGGGTCAGGGATGGGGTCAGTAGAAAGACGGCCAGCAATAATACAATCTGCTCAACATAACCAGCATCTTATGGAGACAGCTGAATGAATGATGAAGCGAATGTCGATTTTGCATCCTAGATCACCTGTAGATTAACCATTATATATCTTTACGAAGATTGTTGATAAATAACCAGGAACAACTTGCTATATGTAAGCAGTGGTAATTCAAATGACAGCTGTTTTGAGTGTCATGTCATTTGAAAAATGGATTGAAGGAGTTGCTACGGAGGTGACTGACAGAACTGGTCCAGGGTACAAGTAATACTAGAAATGAAATGTATATTAAACATGTGGATGTAGAAGTATTGTGTATTTTAAGCATGTATTATATAATTTAGTTAAGTATTGGAACATCTCTTGAAACTAACCCAAGCACTTTCTATTAATCCCTAGGTAAAGTAGTTATATAAGTTAGCATGGGGCTCCCCTTGTCTTCAGCTACTTGGTCAAGCCACAGCTTGGCCAATGATTGCATTTCTATTGTTTCTCTAGCATGTGGCCAGAGCTGATGTTCAACACTTCAACACTTCCCTGGTCACTGCTGCCATCTCATCTCAAGTCATGGTACTGCACTTGTTAGGGTAAGTTAATCTAGATGTATTCCGTATCTATATTCATCACAAGGAGGTAAGGATGTGTGTTTTAGACTAGTTAATAGTAACGTCACAGTTCACTGAAGCACTGGAGCATCGGGGTTAGTGTTGGGAATTGCTTATAATCTCACAATTGATGATTGGTTCATTACAACCGATCAATCATCCAAAATAATTGGTTAGCGTCATTTATCAAATTCTCCTGGTTATGTTTGTTAATGCACAAAAAATATTGAAAAATAGGTAGTTCTTTCAGGGGTTTTTCTTTTCAAATTGCACAAAATGCATTTACAAATATCACATGTTTAAAGGATGACTAGTATGTTACTTAGGAACATAAATTTCTGGAATCTGTAAGATAAATTCAATCATGACAAGGAACGAGCTTGTAGTACGTATGAAATGTAACAGACAAAACCAACCTTGTGAAAAATGTTGTTAATGCAAACAAGTGTTCCAAAATTGTTTGTGTTCGATTATGAGAAAACGTGATCGATTGCGTGGTCGTTTAGTCATTGTGACCAATCTTTGATTATTTCAACTAATCAGACCACCACTAATTGGTGTGCGAAAAAAAAAACCCTGTTGCCAAAAGCCCCTAGGACAAAAACCCCTTAGGACAAAAACTTCTTAGGACAAAAAAAACCACCATGTAGGACAAACCCCCCTAAAAGCTCCAAATGAATAATGAAGATTGTTTATTATTCAAATATTTTATTTAGCCGACATCACATACATCATGAGCACCAATGAGCACTGGCATCAACTGGGTACATTCCCAGGGAATGTATCACTTTACAGTGCTCTTCTTGGTATACTATGTATAAAACCTTCGTAGCTTATGACACCACCCTTATTATTCTCCCTGCTGGAATGCTACTACCTGCTTACTTTATGGAGCATATATTTATACCAGTTGTCATATGACAGTGAGTTGAAATACTTAATAATGTGTACATATCTAAATACTAAGTTGATTAATTAAACTTTTAATACTCTCTAATATTAAGTCAGTTAATCCTCATCAATGATGAAGCTTCACCCTTAATAATGTTTACAAACTAAATACTAAGTTAATTAATGAAGCCTGTTAATCCCTGTCACTGATAATCTCTATTACTGATTCAATCAAAACATGTCACTTAAGTCAATCACTCAGTAGTTAAAACATATTTGGGGGTTTTGTCCAAAGGTCCTGATTTTGGGGTTTTATCCCAAGGGGCTTTTGTCCTACAATTGGAGCATCACTGGCAAGCTTTGAATCATACGATTCATTTGTTTTATTATCGAAGCACATTTTTACCTATTTCGGGTTTGAGAACCTGCCTGGAAAATGTAAGTCTATTTAAGTTATTTGGAAATCTTACAGTTGACTAGGAAGCTGGAGTGCGCAAAGTCAGCCCTAAAAATCAGTATGTGATATGCAAAGCCCATATGTAGTATACGGGAAAGACTACTCACATGAACACACATCAGACTCATCACCACGCTCAAGGTAAAGCAAAACAACTCCACCCCTGTATGAGTTTTGTATCGAGACAGTACTTGATGTCATAAACTTATCACTAGCAGTGTATATTTTACTTTTCATATGAAGTGGGCCCTGGGCCCATTGGTAATGAAACTAGTGGGACATTTGCCACTGTAGGTAGGTCATCAGAAAAAACAAGGCAGACAGTTTATTCAATGAGTTTATCATTCAAATTACAGCTGTTCAGTTGTATTATATAACTGTTAATTCAAACACTGTTAATTTAATGACATTATTATTAAAATTATTATGTTGTAACTTTATATCTCAGTGGCGGTCTGTTTTAATTTTTTATTAGTAGACTTATCTTGACCTTCATGGACCAAAACACAGGGATATAAAACTTGCCATTTTGTTTGGACAGAATGTGACTGGGATGTCTTGCTGTCAGTTTCAACATCTACTGCGCTGACCCTGTCATTAACATTCGATGTTTCCATTGCAATTTCTGAATTACAATTGCCATCATTTGACCCACAACTGTTCCCTAAACTTCTGTCACTTTTTGATCTTTTTGTTTGGAAAAGCGAAAGTATTGAGACTGTCAGCGTCCACAGCAACAGGCGATTTTGCCGACAACATTTTGATTCAAATAACTGCCTCCAAATACAGTTACAGCTCTTCAATATAGAAACTGACTGCTAAAAAGTAACTCTTATGACACACAGCATGACTTGAATAAGCTACGTATTATAAGCTTCATGCATTGATTTAGGCACTGCAATGGATGTTGGAAAGCGTGCATAGTGCTGTCAGGATTACAAATGCAGATTGATCGCTAGAAAATGTGAAAACATGTTGAAAATACTGGCAGGTTATGCAGGCTTACTATGATTGTTACGAGTCATTTTACTTTTATGGTGCGCCAACCGGACCCACCAGGTCAAGGAATAGTGTGTTATTTTTTACTAATATGCGTCAATGGCACATTGATCATGCAGAGGACAACATATCATGATAGCCTGTATAATTCTTGACAATCCTGTGTTGATATTTACCTTCATTGGTGGGTATTTGTGGTAGGGAGCTGTTCCTGTTGCCAGTTCTATTGCTGTAACACCAAAACTCCAAATATCTGCCTTGAAGTCGTATCCTGTAACCTGTGAAATACACATCCTCAATCAGTACGATCAGTCAATCCAGAGTGAGAGAGTGTTTCAGCTCTACTCAGGCTGTGTCACATCAGTCAATCCAGAGCGAGAGAGTGTTTCAGCTCTACTCAGGCTGTGTCACATCAGTCAATCCAGAGTGAGAGAGTGTTTCAGCTCTACTCAGGCTGTGTCACATCAGTCAATCCAGAGTGAGAGAGTGTTTCAGCTCTACTCAGGCTGTGTCACATCAGTCAATCCAGAGTGAGAGAGTGTTTCAGCTCTATTCAGGCTGTGTCACATCAGCCTGGAACACCAGTATGGCAACCTGTGGTTAACAGTATGCAATATACTGTAAATCACGTTTTTTTTATTCACAATATTTTTGTGAGTGGCGACCAACAGACATTTTTGCGTCATGATATTTCTGCAACTTGCCTAATTCTCAAAAATAAATTGCAACTGAAAGTTTTACCTAAAGTAAATCCAATCACATATTAAAGGTTGCCTAAAAACAACACACGCTGCATAAGATGTATAAGCTTTAAACTTGAATGACATCAACAAAGCTGTTGATCTCCGGATGCGTGTGATGAAACCTATCCATGCTCGTTGAATGGTGTCTGCCTATCAAGCGGTCTCTAAAGACTGTCTGGAGTATCAGACGTACTGATTGAGTAACTTGTGTTCAGGTATCCCTTGTTTGACATGCCAGTACTAGTAATGCTAGTAATGAGTTTTCCTTCAACTTGGGGGAAGACTAAGTTCTATGGATAGTCAACTTCTGTATTGCAATGGGTGTGACGTTTCGGCTTAGGTACTAACACCATTATCAAGCAATGATCTGTTGTTGTTTATATGAACTGGTGAAAAATACAGAGACAAGTGTTTGCCACTGATATGGCAATGTCCCCCGCCGCTAAAGAATGGAATATCTATATTTACTACTTTTTATTTTTTGGTCACATACAAGATGCCTGAAATGGTGTCTGCATAATCACCCAATGAAGGCTGTCAACATAATTGAAAACATTGGGTGCAATGTTTTATGAGACATTGCATTTAAATATGTTTGAAAAGTTGTCAAAGTGTCGTGGTGACCTTGAAGATAAGGTCAAGGTCACCCAAATCAACTGGTGTCTGAGTAATCCCCAAATGTAGGCTGTCACCAAATTTGAAGACATTGGGGACAACAGTTCATTAGATATAGCGTTCACAAGAATCGAGAGGGACATACATATGTATGTACAGACGCTGCTGAATAGATAGTCCCCCCGTTTTGGTGGGGGACAATAAGGATTCTTTATTGTGTTTGACCAGCAAATTGTGTCATGATAAGTCATTCGCAATTTTCGCCAAAAATATGCTCGCAAAAATTTCTTGATTTACAGTACTTTGTACCATTAAAACATGAAATTCGTGAAGATCCAGGAAAAATATTGTTCTTCAGCAGCCCATGCATGTCATAAGAGGCAACTAACTGGATTGGATGGTCAGACTTGCTGACTTGGTCGACGCATGTCATCGTATCCCAATTGCGGAGATTGATGCTTATGATGTTGATCACTGGATTGTCTGGTCCAGACTTGATTTTTTTAACAGGCCGTTGCCACAAAATGATATAGCTGGAAGTGTGACGTTAACCAACCAACAAAACAAAGCTGAACTTAAGGAGAAAAACAACATTCTATAATGTGAGAGCTCACCTGCTCCATAACTTCAGGTGCCATCCAACATGGCGTCCCGACAAATGTGTGCCGCACAGCATCCCGGGTCATGTCCTTCCCTGTAGCGAGCCACGCACTCACGCCAAAATCTGCACACACAAAACACAGTAGTCACCATCTGATGACAGGTAGACAACAGGACTTATTATATGACGGGTAGATTTCCGCCCTTCTGATTGGCCCACTTGGTCACATGACAGCTTTGTCGCTAAGTGATGTCAAACGTGGCACATCGAGAGAGGTTGATATAACAATCAAAGCACCACCCATGGCTAAAAATAGATTTTGGATATTCCAGCCGTGAACTGGGCATGGCTTCGTCCCTGTGACTGTTTAGAGTTACGTCCCATCTGTATCAAAATGGCAGACGACACGACACGTCACCAGGAAGATTCATGACTGTGTCAGAAGAGGAAATAAATCGTCTACTGAAGGGAAAAAGATGCATGCAACACCAGAAGGGCAACGGCAGGTGCCACTAAGACCTTGAAAGCCTATCTTCGTGAAAAAGGTTTGCCCACGGATTCTGAAAAGTCTCTGAAAGCTGTAAGCCTATTCTAGCTTATATTGAGTCTTTCCTACATCACAGAAGAACAGGTATTCAGTACTTTTGTCATATAATAAAACAATTCACTTCAGTTCGTCTGAACTTCCCCTCGGTGAATATCACATGTCCAAGGTCGATAAATCATTGGATCAATCTCACTAGAAGTCAATAAATGTATAATATCAACCAGCAGCAACAAGGAAAACAACCATCAAACTTACACTAGATGTCAACAGACCTTTCTTCTAAATGTCTATAACCCTCCTGTATACAATGGTATTTTAAGAATTTACTACTAAAAGATGAGTGAAGATGAGCAAAATCCATTTACTCTTTGTGGAAATACTCCCCAGCCACTGATCCCACATGTTATATTTGGGAACCACTATGCAGTATCCAAATGAACACCACCACCACCACCACTACCGGCCAGTACAATGTGACTTGACACCAACCTGCGATGTACACGGCTCCATCACTTCCCAGTAGGATGTTCCCAGCCTTGATGTCTCTGCAAGCACAACCCGATATGGAGAGTGAGTGAGTGAATACAAGTATAAAAATGGTCATATGGCACTCATCCTAATGTTAACTGTCACAATGAACTTCGCACATCAATACAAGGACTCATGCTCCATGGAAAACAAATTATGTTGAATCAGTAATGTAACAGTTATCACAAAACTTTCTGATTTCAAATTAAATTAAATTAAATTCATTAGAAATGTTTCAGAACCCATCTTTGTACCATATCAACTATTTATTGGCATCATTCTCACAACTTTACACAGGCACGGCCATTTTGAATTCTGATTTTGAAATTTACTATTGTTTCAAGTCCACAAATTATGCCTTAAACATGACTATCCATCCAATCTTGCAAATAACAGGAAATAACAAGTTTAAGAGGAAATTACTTTGTAGTTTATATATTGCATAGTATATTTCTTCATCAATTTCACATAGATGTAAAGATGTGAGCCATCACAGAAGATAACGTCTATGACAATGCTGTAACTAGGTCAGTATGGTACCTGTGTATCTGCCCATTGTTGTGGAAATACTCCAAGCCTTTCAGAACCTCTTTTAGAACAGTAGCTATGACTCCCTCATCAAGGACGCCATTCTTGAACTGTCCGGTCCTCATACGGGCCTTGATCACATCCAGCATAGAGCCTACAGTGGTAAAAAGATACTCATGTACAGGCTAGGTAGGCAGTGATAGGAGACTATGGCTTACAGTGGGACAGCTGGGCAGAGGACTGTGCGAGTGAGGCATTATCCCTTAAATATTAAATCTTCAAGCAAATCAACCAAATTTCAAAGTGTCAGTGGGCATAAAACTTTAATTGGAATTATACATTAGAAATATTCAAAAAGATAAACCGACCTCCACTGCAGAGCTTCATGACCACCCACAGCTCCTCCTTGACAACGAAGGACGTGTAGTAGCCTACCACGTTCTCATGCTTGCACTGACTCATAGCCCGAATCTCCTTCTGCAAACAACCAACAAAGCACATTCATGCCTAAAGACACTACAAACAACCAGTTTTTCAGAAATTGTGAAGGCAAGCAGCCCATATATTAACTTAACACTCCACATACAGAAGTATGGATTTTATAGATGCTTCAGAAAACTTTAATATAAAAACATCCCTGTTCGTATGTTTTCAGGTTATGAATGAATGCTGCCAAAGACCATCAATAAAAGAGCAGCTATTCAACTGCAGCCTGTAACCTGACACAGAAGAGACTAATAGTATGAGCACATTGAAACATAATCAGTCAGATCACTTGTTCCACCCATCAGATCATATCATCAGAACCTCATATCAGTCACTCATGTAAATCGCTGCAAAACTGCTGAGGTGGCAAAAAGCAATACTTACTCTCACATCAGTCAACACCTGAATCTTTCATTTCAAGAAGTGACAATGCTTGTTATGATTGTAACCAAATTCATAAACATGCAATCATTTTTGCAGTAAATATCGAAATGGCATGGTTGAAATATTTTTACAGAACCCCGGTGGCACACCTAAAATTATACAAATAATACTCACCATAATTCATTTAACGGAACATGCAATAGATTTGACCAACTGAAATGTTTCAGAGCCTATCTTTGCACCATATCAAATATTTATTGGTGTCACTCACACAACTTTACATGGGCACAGCCATTTTGAATGGCTGTGCGCATGACAGGAAATCTCATTTTGGAAAACAGTTTCTGGGTAAACAGAAGATAATAAATTACGAATAAAGAAAATATTCCAGGGTAATTAGCCGAATCTACTTTTATCTAGTCAATTAGTGGGGGGCTGTGGTATAGCTAATAATATTTGTCAAACTTTTGTCAATATCAAAGAAGAGAACAACATTAAGCTTTTTCAGCCAGTTGCTGTAAAATATAAGAATAATTCAACTGATGTTGTCACTAAAAACACTCAACATGATCAAGCAAATTTGAAACTGAAGTCTGCCCGGCCTAGCGTAAATTATCCCCACCACCCAAGAACTATGCAGTTATTTACCTCGAGTCCTGTATATGAGGTTCCCTGGGACTCTTACTATTAACTTTCAGGGGGCCTGGACTACAAAATGGGGGTCCCAGACACTTAGATATTATTATTCATACTATGTTGTAATATTGTTGCAATTCAGTTAGGCCAAAAATAAAATGTTGTGGTTCCGATTTCCTATATTTCAGAACTAGGATAGGTAGGTAGGTTTTTTTTGCAAAATGTTTTTACATTACTCATATGTCAGAAAATAAATTTAATTTATTATGTGGTGAGTAAAATTGTTAGGCTTGGCGGGAATATTTAGGGTCGGTTGGGAAATCGGAACCACAAGCATTTTTTTTAGGCCTTACTGTTATTATATTGTGTATGATGATCATCACACTGTTACAGTAATTAAATTGCAAATGATACCATAACCCAGCTAGTAGCAGATTTAGTGATAACTTATTGTTACTTGGTTGGAATATTTACAAAAAAGTATTTGGACTGCGTCCCTGTGGACAGGCTAATAAATTTTACTGCGTCTGTTGTCAATATTTATGCGTATAGGATGCAAGAATTCGTGCCCCGTAAATCCCTGACTATGATACCTGGCACGATTGTGACTGATATAAAACTATATAGTCTGCAAAACTTGTAGAAAATTTGGTCATGCATTAAACCACATCACTTTGTTACTGGATCAAGGGGTTTTCAAACTAGTATTAGTAGTAAACTAGAAAGTAATCAATGTAATGAACATTTGGTTGCTCTAAGTACTTATAATTGTTGTCATGTTTTAAGCTTAATTAGATCATCCATAAGTATGTGCACAATTATTTTCACAAAGGCACACCTAAATTATCTGCCTGGTACTCTATGCAACATTGCAACCTTCGCAAAAAATAACATTTCTATCCCTGTGGCAAGATTTTATCTTCAAATTGCCTTAATGGCTATCACACATCAAAACCTATCAGAAACTAACAGTATTTATGTTCTATGATGATCTTCAACATATCAAGGTTCCTTTCATGCTTATTAGTGCTGGGAATTGGTTAAAATCTCACAATTGATGATTGTTCATTACAACGATCAATCATAAAAAAAAATTGGTTAACGCGATTTATCAAATTCTCCTGGTTATGTTTGTTAATGCACAAAACATATAGAAAAACATGGAGTTTGTTCGGGGTTTTTTTGTGCAAATTGCACAAAATGCATTTACAAATTTCACATCTTTAAAGGATGACTAATTGTTAGGAACATAAATTTCCTGGAATCTTTAAGATAAATTCAATCATGACATGGAACGAGCTTGTAGTATGTATGACATGTAACAGACAAAACCAACCTTGTGAAAAATGTTGTTAATGCAAACAAGTGTGCCAAAATTGTTTGTGTTCGATTATGAGAAAACATGATCGATTGCTTGGTCATTTAGTCATTGTGACCAATCTTCAATTAATCTGACCACCACTAATGCTTATGAATATGTATTTCATGTTACGTGCAAATGTTGTCTACAGTATATGTATCCAGGCTGTTGTGAACTGTGTGGCAGATGTGTAGTTACATATACATAAATGGAACTTTTGAAATGTGCTGTTCTTGTCATCAAAAACACCTCACAGCAACAGTTTTTTAATGACTGCACAATCTCCTGCAATATATTTCAAACAATGTGTATAGCAACACCTGTCCTGGTTTCCAGTATATTAAGTAAAATAAATAGGAAATAGTTTTCTTAATATTTGTATTGTTTTTACCAAAAATCTTCACAGATATTTATTTACAAGTGATGTTTCAGTTTGAAATTGAGAGACAAATTATTTTGCCAATACACAGCTTGAATGTGTATCAACCCTGGATGCCAGTGAGTGAATTTTTTGTACAGCATTTAAGGCATTATTCCAGCAATATCATGCCTTGAGACACCAGAAATGGGCTTCACACATATTACCATGTGGAAAATCAACCCTGATTCTTCAGAATGACAAGCACACTCCAGAATAAAACATTACCAGGAGTTCCTCTACTGTTGTGTTGCATTTCTCGAGGTTGATTCTCTTAATTGCCACCTTCTCTTGTCTAGGTTTACACATCGCAGCCTGAACGACAGCTGTGGCTCCAGCACCTGGAAGAGTCAAACAACCTGTCAAAGATCATCACATCCACATGGTACAGGTAGCCAGTGAGCATGTGTTTCATGCCCTGATGAATCCAAGGATGAGGCTAACCCAAGAATGAGGCTAACATCATTACACTGAAACTTCAACAGATTTCCCGGGTCCATGTCTGATGAGGGATTTACCTGGGTGTTCTGAGATATTGGTATCCAGGATACATTTTGTGGTCAAAAGCAGGAAACGTTAAGTACCACAGTTGAAATATATGACCTACTTCACGATGTGATATAAGGCTGTTAACATACGAGAAATTCTTGCAAAATGTTCAGTCCATTAAACACATTGAACTGCTGGAAGGCATAGTGAGCCATAGATTACTGAGTCAGATGTTATCATTCATACTGACTAGATATACTTTTCTTCATGTGTGTTGGGTATTACATTATCATAATGTTTTATTTGGGTAGTCTGTTTGTTTATATACCAATGGTTTACATCTAGGGATTTATCTAGGCCATGTCAGAGGCTGACATTCGGACCCAAGTCTGCACCAAATCACAGTACAAATTGCAATTTGAATTCAACATTTTAAAATTTCCTAACCCCTCAGAATTTCTGAAAGTAAGAACATAAAAAATATCCCAATTTTGCCAACATCATGATATATTTCCCATTTTGCCAGCCAAAGGCACATAGTTTGCAATCCAAGATAAATCCCTCACATCTGTTCATGCGCTGCCCCAACTGTGCTGCATGCATATAATCAAGAGACTCATATACATGTCCAAGTTACAATAACTGAGAAGCAGAGATCTTGTATATGTTATACTTGCAGTTCACCAGTAAACTGTCAGCTGTAAAGAAATACATTATCAAAACTGTTGGTTAGAACTTCCATCCCTCTGGCTCAAAGATGTTATCAACAAATTGTACCATGAGTTCTTATGTACCAGGTGGTTAATGTATGCGAGTGTAGTCTCTTATCATCGCCATATTCCTATGTGCCATCTATCCATATCTTTCAGAATAATATATTTAAGTTGCACAAGGCATACATTTTCATGGGAATTATTTACGTATGTATTCACTAGTATCGTCAAGGTCACTATAAACATATTTAGAATGGAAGACCAGAAACTCAGACAATTCCCACAGTATTGCCACATGTGCCTGCCTGTCGACCTGTTGTATAAAAGACGTGTGTAACCTTGACTTCATGCTATGGGTTTAGCTGGCGAGGTCGGTGTGTACACCGCGACAGGAAGTGCTACAATAACCAACACAATTTGAATCAAAAACATGTGCGAAACGTTCGTTCGCAAAGGAACCACATAATAAAATCAACTTCATAAGTGACAGGCACATTGTTCAAGCATCTCCACATTGTTAAAGACTTGGCAGGATGAGATGTCTGCATATTACATGACATGCGCTCAGTTTGAATGACAGGCAATCAAAAACAACCGGAGTGACATCATAAGCATGTCACATAATCCTGCTGTCAGTTTGCGCTATTGGTGTTATCCTAAACCAAACCATTGAACGTAAGAGTGTGTTTTCAATTTGATATGGCACGCAGTAAATCAAAACTTTACCTATTACGTCCAAGAGCTCATAATCGTCTTTAGAAATCGACCAGGCTACTGCTGCAGCCCCTTCGGCCATTTTGGCGCTGTATATCGACCTTTACCTTGGTCAAGGCCGAAAGCAAGGTGAGCACATGTTTCAAAGGGAGGTAATCAAACATTTGGATATCTTTGAATCCGATAAGAAATTACTATACATTTGGCAGGTTCATTACTAATTTAGTGCTTACACACACGCACGCAAAAGTGAATTGAGCTCGTCGGTGACTCAAGATACTTTTGTTATGATACAATAGTCGACTTTATGACTCCGAGTATATCATGAGCATGTGTTTATGAACAGTAAATTAATTAACGTTATCATAGGCGGATCCAGGAATTTTCAGAGTTGGGGTGGGGGTGGGGTTCCAACCCCTGAATAATTTTCTGGACGTGTGGCCTAGGATGGCCTTCGAAATACCTTGTCCTTTATCATACAAGTCGTATACGTATATTCTCCCATCACACTCCACACACACAGAGATTTTATTACGGCTAAATTAATAAATATTGTTCCAGGTGTACTATTTACGTACGAGTATTTTAAGGAATATTTTTGTATCAGAAGAATATTTTTGCTGCCTTTATTGTATGTATACACAAAGAACTCCCTGACGTATCTCACGATTGAATTAACCCCGATCTTAACCCTCTGGAGCATATCTGGGACATGATTGGTCGTCGTGTGCAACAAAGGGATCCTCCTGTACAGAACCTGGCCCATTTGGAAGCTGCTTTACACGAGGAATGGCGTAGACTGCCCCTTAAGAGGATCAGGAGGCTGACAGGGGGTATGAGGAGGAGAGTGCGTGCTGTCATACAGTCACATGGAGGTTACACTCGGTATTGACCTTGAATCGTGTAAGACACGCAAAATGACATTTTGAATGTTCACATTCACCAATAAATTCAACATTGACCATTCCAGGGCCATACTTGTACAGACATGGTTTTGTATGGAAATCGGTGGGTTTTTAAATTAGCAATTATCATCATAAAATGAACATGGATTCCAATCATCTTGTCGTTTTAAGAGTCAAAGGATCATGGGGATGAGAAAAACCTATCATTGCAACACTACAGGGTGTGCTTAATTAAGTTCTTTGTGTATATTTATGTATTTTACATTGTGAAAACATGTCAAGAATATAAACCACTGCTGATAATATTTTTCGTCGATTCATTTACTCGATACCTTACATGTCTACATGGGGGGGCGGTGTGGTAGCCTAATGGTTAAAGCGATCGATCGTCTCCCCGAAAACCTGGGCTCGATTCCCCACGTGTGTACAATGTGTGAAGTCCATTTCTTGATACCTCCTCTGTAACATTGCTGGAATATCGCTCAAATCGGCGAAAAACTACATTCAGTCAATGACTTTTACTTGAAATAAGACCGCCTCCGTGGTGTAGTGCTTAGAGCGTCCGCCCGGAGAGCGGAAGGTCGCGGGTTCGATCCCCGACCGCGTCATACCAAAAGACGTTCAAATATGGTACTTGTTGGTCCCTGACTGGCGCTCGGCATTAATGGGTACAACAAGGACTGGTCGGCTCGGAGTCAGTATAATGTGTCTGAGTGGGGTATTCATGCTTCACTGCGGCATGGTATCTCTGTGGGCTAGCACTATAAAACCAGCTTAAGTTTGGGCTAGTACAAACAGCCGCACATACACATACACATGCATGCACGTCGTCATATGAGCGAAATATTCCCAAGCACGACGTAAAACCCAATTTCACCTCACCTCACCTACTTGAAAACAAGAAAAGAAATCGGGCTTGTAAATACGCCGATCACGAGTGACTTTTTTGATCCAAAGCCACCAAATTGACTTGCTTGAATGTATTTGTTGGGACTTCCACTGATTCATCGCTGATAGGTCCGTCAATGTGATCCGAGTTGCTATGTTCTTCTCATTACATTACACCCTGAGTAGTTAACTCCGTGTGTGCTGTAAACCATGCGCTATGCTGTTCTGACGTCGTGAGTCAGTTTAGATTTACGCCGCACTCAGCAGTATTCCAGCTATATGTCCAGTGATCAACAGCATGAACATCGATCTACGCAATTGGGATACGATGACATGTGTCAACCAAGTCAGCGAGCCTGACCAACCGATGCCCTTAGTCGCCTCTTACGACAAGCATGGGTTACTGAAGATCAATTCTAACGCCACAATGTCATATCCTGTCAACCATCTCGCTGTGATGACATCAAAACGTCATATACTGTACACTGTACTCCTTGTTGTGATGACGTCGGGAATCCTGTGTTGTCAGTGGTGCTACGCTTTACGATGACATTGAAATGTCAAGCCAGTCTGTTCTTCTAAATGGGTATTTTAAGTACAGATACTTTAAAAAGACAGGCATTTATTCAAGGAATTAAAATATATTTATGTCGAAAGCATTCTGCAATCAATCAGGTTACCTAATCCTAAGCTGATTTCCCCTGTAAATCCTCCATTAAGAGAAAACTTATGTATTCATTTGACACTGCGCCAATATTGTATTAAAGACTGTTAAAAATGTAGCTTTCGGCTCAACATCATTAACAGAATAACGTGATGTTAACAAAACATCTGCAACATTTGTTTTGTTTCAAAGCGTTAGGCAAGAACTGAATGCCGGGAGTTATTTGTGTAGAAACAAAGAGTGTACGAACGGCGAAAGCAGCATTGTTTAAAAGGAAGGATACATTTGGGGATTGCACTTTAACATTGCTAGTCGTTTATATTTTGCTGAAAATATCACTATATTTATTAGTAACTGTGCTGTAATCCCTTTCCACTATAAGTATCCCCGATTATCTTTAAGCTTCCAAAAGCAGAAAATTAATACATATAGTATTCAGAATTTATAAAAAGACAAGCGCGTGCGTTGGATTGGGTTTCGGTGAGGTGCGAGTGAGTGAATGAGTTGTTTTACGCCGCAATCAGCAATATTCCAGCTACATGGCGGCGGTCAGTAAATAATCGAGTCTGGACCAGACAATCCAGTGATCAACAGCATGAACATCGATCTGCGCAATTGGGAACCGATGACATGTGTCAGCGGGCCTGACCACCCGATCCCGTTAGTCGCCTCTTACGACAAGCATGGGTTACTAAAGATCAACATTCTAACCCGGACCTTCACGGGTCCGTGAGGTGCGATTATTGTGTGGTAGGTGTTAAGTGTGTGCTTAAATGTTTAAATGTAAAACGTGAAACGATACTGTATGAACATTACAAGATAGTTATTCTTAGAAAAAAGCCTCACAGTGCAAATAAAAATAATTATGCAAAGAAATGATCATGCATGGCTGAAAATGAACTTGACACACATAGGATTAACTATTCAGTTCGAAATGACGACATCCAAATTACATGGGTTCATTGTATTCGGTGTGTCAAATAAAACATTCCAATAAAACGATGCCAGTTTCTAATTAGTTGTGTTTTGGTCTTTGGCGTCCATAAATATAGCATGTTTGTTTTAACAATTTTGAGAGGCAAATGTATTTAAGATCGCAAATAAACAGGCACACAGATAAACAATGTAATGCTTCCGACTGAGCATATCAGCAAAGTTTACCAACTCGCTTAACGCTGATGCGAGATGCTTGCACTGCTTTTTTACCAGAGCTGACACGAAGCTACCATGTATCTTCCAACATGCTGTATTTGTTTTTCGGGTAACACGATTTACTTTTGCAGCAATGTGGCAAAGATCACAGGGAGATAGCTACTGTCTTTTCCGCTTGCATTTATTCCCCCGAAACAGTGCTTGATAATGTATTGGATCTACTTTGTTACACGAAGCACTATTAGCATTCCATTTTCAGGAAAAAAGGTATTCAGCCCTAAAATATTAAATTTCTTGTCCGTAAACCAAGCAGACTATTCAGGGACGCACATAAAATGATTTTAGTACACCTTTGGAGGGGAATTAGAGTTGTAAATACATTTTCGTCGTGTTTAGAATTAGATTCAAACAGAAACATAAACATTCCTATTGTTGTACAAAAGGAAAACAAACTGTAAGCCAATCTAACTTTGGCCCCGGTGGATTTACTGTTAAGGCATTTAAATACCATCTCAAACATGCCTTCACACGACTTGTAGTGGCGGAAGTAGAATGTGGTCACATGTCAAAACTAACCAATCAAAATGTTGGAGAAGTTCTGTCATGGCGGCAAAGTGGTGTACTGCTTCCTGTAAAATGCAACTCCTGTAGAGGTTCTTCATGCTTTATTGGGATTAATTGACACTTTTTGAGCTGTCATGAAACTGGGCAGTCTAGTTGTCCAGCAACTGGAGGAGGAGGTTTGTATGCAACACAATATGTGCTAGGATTAAAACTTTTAAGGCCATGATGCAGTTCGATACGCACATCGCCGTGACTAAGCTGTCTGCTTCAACTTGTAGGTCGACTTTATTGCTCTAACCGTGATGGTGACTCGTGGCACTTCCGATGTAAATGTTATTTGTGTAGATGATTAACACTCATATTTGTAACAATGCAAAATTATCGAAACTGTGTTTATTGCAACTGTCATTTGACACTTTTGACTCTTTTGACTTTTTTGACAGTTTCGTACCCTCTTGTGTGTGTGTACAATATACTACTATTAATGTGTTCATCCGAATGTGATGGATCGTGAATTTACGTGATAGTCATATTGATATGGTATATGTGAACGATCTGATTTGTTTTATAGCAAACATTCATGTCAATATATTAGATGAATGTCATAATGGCAGCCACACCCATCAAGTAAAGAATTATCTGTTTTCGTGACGAGGTTCATATCAGGTAGTTTGAAACTATATAACGATATTTTCTGTTGTCACCAAATATTACAACTACATGGAGAGCACATTGCTCACCATAGTTGATGAGACGGGGCGGTGGAGTAGCCTAGTGGTTAAAGCGTTGGCTCGTCACGTCGAAGACCCGGGTTTGAATCCCCACATGGGTACAATGTGTGAAGCCCATTTCTGGTGTCCCCTGTCATGATGTTGCTGGAATATTGCTAAAAGCGGCATAAAACCAATTTCAGTCAGTCAGTTGATGAGGTGGTTATGCTGAGTTTTCTTTAGTGGGTTGCGTGTCATCTTACCCAAACAGTTAGGGTGTTGGTCTAATGTCAACCACTGGTTTGTCAGATCCAGACCCAGTTATTGACAACCATTTTGTTCATCTATGCAACTAAGATGAAAGTAATGTTTATCAAATGTATGATATGTTTGTGAAATGTATGGCAGATAAAGCATACATAGTTTATTAAATACTTTGAGGGAACTAATGATGAGTAGCTGATGAGAACTGGAAGTGCCTGATATACAATGTACTAATGAGTACAGAGAATGTTTCAGTTGCAAAGTATAAATAAATAATTATTAGTAACAGCCTTGAAAAGTTAGGTCTTTTGAAGGTTAACCATGATACAATTCCGGTATTTTTCCCCACGGTATTTGACAACAATAAAGGACAGCAAAAGAAAATTCTTCACGGTTAGTGACATAAAAGAAAAATTAAAGATAAAGTTATGGACCTTATAAGCAAATTTAACTTGGTCGGGGGATGTCCCACCACCTATGTAATAGCAAGTACAAGTTCACAGGTCATTAGTTGTTTCATTCCATATCAATCTACTGTAATAGAAACACTCAAATAGTGACATAATCAATTTTTCGAGGTTACAGTATGATATAAATATATATATTATTTCTCGAATGGCATGAGAAATTCTAAATGGCGATAACTGTTATAGTTAATGTGAGAAAACATCTATTTATACTGCCGTGATTCCCTCTTGCTGCATTATATAAAAACATGATCGGTGGCAGTGAACAGGCTGAACACATTGGTGAATAGCTAATTAGGTATCGTAATTAATTCTGTTTCATTAAGTTAACGAACTGTGGAGTAATTTTGTAAATACCGCTAAAATATGGCGCTAACTGTTTGGTAGCCAGTAGGGCTGTAATGACTGACTAAGATGTACATGAGTGTTGTGCAACCTCCCTTGTTCCTCTGTATTGTCAGAAGTTAGTTTGTACTATGACTGAGTCATTAAGTCTGGTAAGCAAGTTGTTGGTCGTCATTGATGTAATCCGTTTCTACATTTCAGTCATGACATAGTACTTACTTTGTGATGAAAACAAACACACTTTTTATTTATTATGGATTTATAGTAGTCTTATGTCCAAGCTGTTGATAGATTGAGCATATTGTGTCAGGACACAGTGTTTAGTTCAGTATTACTCACCTAGTGCTCTTGAAATTTAGTTGTTAGTATAAAACTAGTAGAATCATCACTACAAAGGTCCATAACATGATAAAGTTTTCCTGTCACTTTTCACTAATCTCAGGACTAGTGTACTTGTGCCTAGTGGGATCTGTGCTTGTGTTGAGAATGAATATGAGTACATTCTAACTTATGAAGAAACGTACATGATTTTTTGGCATTTATATGAGCAATTTGTGAATGGAAATAGCTAAATATGATAGAAAATTAGCAAATATCACTTGTTAAACATCATATTCCAATGGCATGTTCAAAGAAAACTGAATCGTGTGAAGTTTGTATTTTTCCGCTTTCCAACCAAATGTTCAGATCAATCATTGGACCATTGCCAGACACACCATGGATACATGTAGTTTGTAAAGCTGTAGAACATACAAACAACTTCCTCATTTGAACATGTTGAAATGATTTCCTGTATCTTGTAAACTGTTATCTTCTCTTATCCTGACTCAGTGATCTTTTGCTTATCTCCCTTTCCTTTTCGCATGGTAGTGGAACACTTGAATCCCTTGAAGTTCCCGAAGCGGACGTAAACATACACTCACCCACGAGTTACCTTCCTTTTGCCCTTTTCCCTCACAAACAGTCATGTGACCAGCCTTACTTGTCACTCTCTCTGTCACTGGAGTCCCTTATACGGCATTATATCCTTTTTATTTAGGTTCTATTCTTCAAAATTACGCTATATATGGATTTGGCAATAACTACTATGTATTATATGTACAAATTTTGTAAAAATTATTTTATTTGTGTCTTTATTTCATCGTTATGTAACTTTGTTTACATTTCATGAAATCTTGCAGTGTTTTCAGGCACAGGTTATCCGTGGCTGATCCTCACCCCCAGTGCCCTTCGTGCATAAAACCATGTTCTTCCAGCTTGCGCTGTACTTATTGTGTTGATTTATCAAATCTTCAATTTAATCAATATTTGTCTTATATCTATTGACATGCCATGGATCGGGTGAGGAAGTCATCTCAAGTCACGTCTGATAAAACAGGAGATCAGCCTTCGAACCGTATGTTGTTTGCTACTGCTGAAATTCATAATACTGGTGCTATGTTTAGTGCGTTACAGGGGCAGTCTGCTGGTAAGGGGGCCAAGAAGAGATCGGCTACAACGCAGTTGACTCCGTCTATCCAAGGTACCCTCTAACCTATCCATTTACAAAGGCGCCTGAATGGGATGATAACATAAAGTTAGTCAACGACTCCCGAAACAAGATGTATAAAGTGGAAGGTAAAAAGTTATCTCAACTTGATACTGCTACAAGGAGATCCTTCTTCGAGTTGGCCTGGTCCAGATCTATCAATGAAGCATTGATCAATAAATTCCAGAACTCAAGTTCGGAAGAGGATAGAATGATATATTCGGCCCCCATAACACAGAAGGACCAATACTTTTTTTATCGGACCATCTGGCATCTATATATGCAGGTCTCACTTTACTACGCAGACAAGGGCTACTTGCATCCTGTTCATTGAGTGATAGATTCACCCAACCACTACTGAGAGCTCCATGGGAGGCGCCTACTGTCTTTGGAGGACAAATAGAGGATCTCGCTAAATAAGCTATGCACGACTCTAGAGATGTTATGATCATAAAATCCATAGATACTCTGGCCAACATCATCCGTCATACTTCGCAAAAGTATAACAGCAAGTCCAAATATTCTGGCCTACAGAAGGCAAAGGAGAAGAAGTACCCCAACTCAGAGGCGGCAAAGGATCTTTTCGTCGCCCATCCGAAAATTACAGAGGAAACTCAGGGAGAGGCCGCACTCCCAATGGATCCAGAGGAACTAGACGTTGATATCAAGGTTCGGAACGACTGGAGTCTTCCACCCCCCAGCCATTCCTGTAAAACTGTCGACAGTGGGTGGACGTCTACAAAGGTACTGGAAGAATTGGGGAATACTAGAGGACTACTACGTCTCCCAAGTACTACGAGAAGGATACAGAGTACAACTCAAGGCCACACCTCCGCTTCCCCTCAGCCCGATGGTCTTCGACTATGCAGGGATAAATCTACCCCCGCGTCCCACGTCTCTGACGCAATAAATTCTGACAGGACTCATATTTTTTTTACATGTGCGTCCTCCTGGACGCAAGCTTTTGATGAAACACTAATGTTTATTTTTGTGGAGAGGCAATATCAAAGTATACATGGCGAAATCTTCGTAGATTAACTTCCATTCTCAAATAATTGATGTGAGCTAATAAATACACATTATTTTTAAAATGATCGCAGCTTTCATTCGTCATGATATTAAGTTCATTTCCGTGTTTCCAAAAATAGACATCTAGGTCACACCAAGGGAGATAAGCGGTATGCAAATGAGATCCCAAGATTCATTGCTCGAGCATGTGCAAAACTACTAACCTAGTTTTTACACTCTATAAATAGACACAAACACGCTAAGGGAGGTAAGCGATATGCAAATGAGGTTTTTCAAGACAAACTGATTGGTCAGTGAACATTTTGACCCTGAATCCAATTGTGTGAAGACAAAATCTGAGTTCTCAGTACCAGTTAGAGAAAAGCAGGAAGCTTTAGTCAGTAGCTGAACAACTGTAATTTGAAAGTGAAAGTGACATTTGAGAGGGTTAAAGTTCTGCTGAAATAGAATGTCATTCTGAATCTCAAGTCCAGGAAAAGTAATCATATAAATGAATCATTTCATTTATAATTATGATGACATTTATGATATAATTCGTTCAATGTTAATAGTTGAAGTAAGACAGTTACTATTTGTGTTCATACTTGTTAAAGTGGCTTCCAGTTGGCATATTTCTTTTGATGTAATTTGTTTTTGAATCACTGAACAGAGTGAAGAAATAAAACAAAACTTTGGTTGGAATTGTAGAACTTTATTCACAAAATATTACAGTGAAATTACATGGGTCTGGCTAGTAACTTTTTTATTTTTCTAGTAAAAGAAAACATTTGCTTGTTAAAGGTCATGTAGAGCCCTGCTGTTATTTTTATAATATAGCAGTCGACATGCCGCCC